GTTTGATTCTCTGCTGGGAACTTAAGAGTGAATCAGACGGCGTCTCCACTCCCAGCTTCACATGTTCCCGATCGCTGGCGCTGAGTGTGAGAATGTGTTTAATCACTCTTTTTTTTCATACTGTTAAAAATAATGATTTTAAATCCAGTCTCGGGGTTGTACAAGGATTGAAAAACACACAATCATCCTCCCTTAGACAATGCTGCCGTATTGTTGTCCTCAGACCACACAGACAAGCCGCAACAAGACTGTCTAAAGTTTACTCTTTTGTCAGATAAGAGCTCGATCCAGGTCTGTTTGCATTCCTCAGGACGGGACGAGTAAACGTTTCTATGGCAGCTCTCTCAGACCTCAGCCTGTTTATGTGCAGAAGCTGCGGGTGAAGGGGAAAGCAGTTGTTTTTTTTAGCCAGAAAATATGTAAGTCATTGATTTCGCTAAGATCCTCTGAAAACAGAAGCTTCTGAGTCATAACGGAAAAGAAAAACGAGGTGATCAGGAAGAGAGAGAGCAAAGATCAAGGAATCAAATGAAAGTTTACACCAAGTCTTGGAGAACTTTTGTATTTGAGCATTACTCCTCCTTTGGATAAAAAGTTAACAGGTTAGTGAACAGTCCATGCAGAGATTTCCAAGACTGGCAAAGCTGACATGTGTCTGCAAAATCATCACCTTCTGAGAGTGTATATTTTCTGGGTAAGACCTGATTGCACTCGAGACTGACACCCGATCTTGTAAACATGCTTTTGTTTTTTCAAGAAGAACAAGTTTGCAGATAATGAGGCTGAAGTATGTTTTGTTGAGTTGTTTTGTTGCAGCATTAGTTTTGCCCTGATGCTGTTTGACTAGGGGCTACCTGCAACACACATGGCAGGAGCCTTCCTCATTTATACAGAGAAAAGACAGAAGTAAAGACGGTTGGTGAAGATCCTCATAGGAAATACTGTTTCCAGGAGTGCCAAATCTTGTGTCCTTGTGCGAAGTCTTAAAGGGATATTCCGGTGTAAAATTAAGTTATGGACAAACACACTGTAACACCGAGTTAGACCCGTCAAGAGATGAATATTGACGACCGCTTGCTTCTCTAGTTATACCAACTTTAGTTACAACTGCAGGATAGCAATACAGAGAGCCACGTGCTCAACCAAAACACCACTCTGTAGCCACAAATAATGCTCAGAACAGCACCTAACTTCATCAACAGGACATATAGGGTCCTAGCCACAGCACTAGCCACCAAACATCTTTTTAACTTTGCCTGATTTCTTCAGCAAAGAGACTAAACACAACTCACCTACTCTCCTCCAGCAGCCACTTGTTTGTATGGAGACCTCTGCATGAGTCCATCAACTGCAGTGGGGGGACGCAGCTCAAGGAAGAACATTTATGATCAATATTTATGATAAACATTAATCTCTCAATGGGGTGTCTAACTTGGTGTTATGGTGTGTTTTTCTATAACTTAAATTTATGCTGGAATATCCCTTTAAGGAAGGTCACCACAGCCCTGAAACAGCATCAGATTCTCCAGGTAGAGACTTTTTCGAATTCACAGAGGACATGTATGAGGTCCTGGTGCTTGTTTTTAGGTCAGGGGCCAATCTTGACACACCTTATTCAGCTGGGTTTGACGAACACATCAGTCAGAGATTTTTCATAGATATGTCAGCACCTTCAGGGAAATCACAAAGTTACCACATACATTCACGAAGGAGTCAAAGTAAAAGTAAAATAACCTTTAGAAATAGTTCCACCACACTTTCTAAGGTAAATCCTGCAGACCGGCTGCATGTCTTTTGTTTTGGAGGTGGAGAAACAAAAAGCTTGTTTTCATATTCAGCTGCTGAATGTTTGAAGGATTAAGAAATTCAGCCGCAGATAAAGTCCCCGCTCACATGGCTGGGGCCTCTAATGCTCCACAAAGACTAAACAAGAGCCCAGCTGAAGTCTGCACACGCTGATCTGATACGTACTGCAGGACAGATATGATGCTGCTGTTTATGAGCATCTCCAACCCAGAAGTGAATTACTGTCTTCTTAAGTTATGATTAATCTATTTATTCAGGTATAAACATTCCTGCACATTAATCACAGCTGCTGATTAAAGTCAGTGTGCCGCTGAGTCGACCTGAAATATCCAGACTCGTCTCTCTGTCATTGTTGGAGATCCTGAGTCAGCCCTGCAGGTGAGTACAGCTCAGAGTGTGTCTGAGGAATCAGGGGATCCTTTCGTAACTATAACAGCTTTATTTTGGTGCAGCACACCTTCACACATGTCACACTTAAAGCATCTTTCTCCAAAGGTAAAGTACAGGTAAGAGGCTTGAAAATGACTCAACTTGAGCTCCGCATCTTACACATTCATCTCTCGAGGGGGTGTCTAACTCGGTGTTAGTGTGTTTGACCCTAAATTAATTTTACGCCGGAATATCCCTTTAAGTTAAGAGCAGCATCTGTGTGCAGGTTTGGTTGGTTTTTATGACACTAACTAACCTCATTACTTCCCTAGTTAATCTGTTTCCCAGTGTTCCCCATACTTCCTTATCACTGCAGATAATAGCGCTCATAAAGAGACGAACCCGAGACGTTTGTGTCTGTGCACTGGCATGCCAATGAGTCATTCGTACACATGTATTTGCAAATGACAAAATGTGTGCATGTGTGTGTGTGTGTGTCTGCACCTGCTTCCTTGGAAGGAAACATCTGCTGTAGGGTGTCAGAGGCCACCTGTCCTCCTCCGTCCAGCAGGGAACACTACAGCCGCTGACCGACCGTCCTGCAGAACTGATCCCCTGTCTGCACGCGCTAAATCTGCAGCGGGATGATCCATGCGGGGAGAAGCAGCTGTCCTATCAGACCGTCCCGTGGCCCCGCTATATGAGACAGGGTGAGCTTGAATCGTGTGCCCAAATAAAAAGCCTGGTGTGTCGAATAATGAAGGAACAGGAAATCTTCTCGGCACGCTGGATTGGCGGAGTCGTCATGCAGGACGGGAGGCTTAAAATTAAGATTGAAATGATCTGAGAGTTGTAAAGTTGCCAAAAAAAAAAAAAAAGAAAAACACCCTGAAAATATAACTTCTTCCTAAAGATGCTGCTCTGTAATGTGAAGCTGTAAAATATTTGACATTAACTCGATATCCTGGACCGAAGTTTTGGTTTTCTAAGCAGAAGTCCTGCAGAATTTTTCACACTGATGCCCCTCATGTCATTACTTTGATCTGGTCTCATTTCATGCAGCTCTATCAGTTGTTGTGGGAACATGCTACAATGAACACACATGTTTTGGTTGATTAAAAAGCTCAACATGAATGAAAAATGACCGTTTCAATTCCAGGAGGATTCACGTGATATTGAAGGTTTGCTAGATCGACAGCGCCTGGCATGATTTTGGCGCGGCTACTACAAGAAACTCAGATTGCTGACGGACTTCGCTGTCATGAGGTTGAAAACGAGAAGAGTTCAAAGCAGGGCCGATTCTGACCTAATTTTTGAATTGCACGACTGCTGTGGAAATGGGGCCGATTTTAAGCCTGGTCTTGGCGTGTTCAGGGAACCACGAGAACCGATTGTCGCCTGTTCAGCTGCTCCTGATTGGATGAAGTTCTGGCATGTTAGAAAATCAGCTTTTTTCCCCCTTGTAACTTTAGTTTACTTCTTCTATCCTGATGCAGACATTGAGTTTGAGTGTGTGTCTGTCTGTGTGTAGCGTATGCTGATAGAGTTGGTCGGCACACTGGAGAGCCTGGTGTCGGTCTCAGTGCTGGAGTTTGTCAGAAAGGTGATAATTGTTCTTTATAATGGCTGTTAAAGTCGTGTGTGGGAGTTTTCTGAGGAAGAGTGACTATTGGAGTGTGAGCACATGAATCATGAGTTTCTCTTTACCTTTGCATCTCTTTACGTCACTCCTTTTATATCGTAGGGCGTGTAAAAACCATTTCAGTCACGTCGTATGTTATGGAGCAGATTTTCACGGTTGATTTGTGTGTTTAAGTCAGAAACAGTAACCAGATATTCAGCCGACAAATTAAAGTTATTTTTATAGTTTTATTTTCCAAAACTTCTGATTTCTTTTTTTTTTTTCGAATCTTTTTTAATGTTTTTTTGAGCAGTAATACTTTCATCAATCAGTAGTACATTATAAAAAAGAGCGAGTGTGAAATTAGATGTAAAGTGTCAATGATAACTCCTTCTCCCCCTCATGCCCTACCCATCCCACCCCACGTTGGCCACAAAATCACCAAGACAAGAAATCAGGATACACATACAAATATACAAAGTGCGACCTTCTTGGTTTTTAAAGTAGACATCTTTCATAACACTGGTTCTGGTCACTTAGAGGCTGATGTTATCGAGTTTTACTTCATGTTTCATATCCTGATTTATTTGTTTAAGTAAAATAATGAGAAGCAACAGTTTTGTGGTGGATAAAGTGCAAAAAAAGCTTGTCTAAAAGTGGAGATAAGTGCCGCTTTCTTCTCCTCAGAGGGAGTGTTTGGTGTAAAGCGGTCAGTAGAGGGCGCTGACAGCCATGTTTCCTCTGCTTTTCCTCTGCAGTGAGGAGCAGCTCAGGTTTCCCTCACTAATCATATCATGTCCTTAACTGTTTTCATCTCTGCTCTGTGTTTGCAGACCTGATGATGTTTTTAAGATCTGAAGTAAAATACTAAACTCTTTATTGTTTGTTTCTCTTATTATGAATCTTTTGAGTTAAAATACTGTAAAACACTTTGATTAAAATAGTTTAATTTTTGTTTTATTCATGGTTTGGTTTTATTTCAATAAATTTAACACAAACAACCTCCTGAGTGAGTAAACTTTTATAATAAATCCATCATCGGTCCTCCCCTTTACTCCCTCTCCCGCCCCTCTCCTTGATTGGCTCACCGCTGACAAACGTCCCCCCCATGCTGCTCCTGATTGGCTCACATTGGTGTCCATCATCGTGGGAGCGCCCGGCTCTCGCTGTGGCCAACAGAGACGCACCGCTGCTCTCCTCCTCTGCTGTTTAGTGCGTCGATCGACGGAGGGAAGTGGAGTTCGCGCGTCTCGTTGTGCGTCCGTGGACCAAACAGCTTCAGCAGCAGCAGCAGCAGCAGCGGTGCGCTCTGAGCCTCCTCCAGATCCGCAGGCATCCCGGGGAGCAGACACACCGTGCATGCCTCGGACACCAGGAGGAGGAGGATAACCGATTTCTTCATCATCTTCTTCTTCTTCATGATCATTTTGACTCACTGAGACATACATTTTTTGCATTTCCCTCATGGTAACCAACATTGCGCAGCCGGAGACATGTGGAATATTCCGGGGAAACTGCACCGCTTCTTCCTAGTGTGTTTTCTCCTGACACTGCGGACTGAGGTGAGAACTTTATCTGAAATAATAATCAAACGTTTTGACTCATAAGAAGTTATTTAGAAAGGGTTAAATTCCGGTCTTAATTGAACTGCATGCGCGGCAGTCGAATCATGTGATCCTGGAATTTTTTGGGATTTGTGCTTCATTCGAGGGCGAGAAATGAAATTCATTGTTTCATGCAAATATTAGAGGAAATTTCATGTTTTTTGGCTAGTTAAGCCAAGTTATTTTTGCGTCCGTGAAGTTTCAACACCAGAGGATCAATGCCAGTATAGATAGAGTGCGTAAATCAGTCTTTAACACCGCACTCTGCATGTTTCAGTGCAGCTTCACCTGCATCAAAATGTGTGGGTTGTAGTTTTGAACAAGTGTCACAAGTTTTTCATCACATAATCATGAACATTGTGCGAGTTTAGACCCGTTTACTGTCACTTTCCCGGGTGCTTTCGTCGCTTTAGTTCGGTGAAAGTGGACTTTCTGCAGCGTGATATGCAGACTGAGCTAAATTGGAGTACCAGTTTGAGCCGAGGTGCAACTGTGCCAAAATGTACAGTAGTGTAGGCTGCAGGGGAATCCACTTAAGGTGAACTTTTCTTTGAATCTGACTTGTCTTCGAGCAGAAAATGCGCATTTTTTGTTTTGGACACCTTACTCGCGATGCACAAATGAAACTAAGATGTGTCAAAGATCGACTGTTATAGATTGAAAACAGTTCATAAGCAGACTTTTCACCCTCTTTTTTCCTCCTCAGGTGTCTCAGTCCACCGGTTACTTCGAGCTGCAGCTGATCTCGGTGGAAAACCCTAAAGGTCAGCTCCTCAACGGCGACTGCTGCGACGCGGAGAAGAGCGCGGCGGAAGGCGAGTGCGGCGAGGATGAGTGCGACACCTACTTCAGAGTGTGTTTAAAGGAATACCAAACGGAGGTCTTGATCAATGGACAATGCACGTACGGCTCGGAAACTACTAAGGTTATCGGTGGAAATACTTTTCAGTTCAAAGGCGGCCAGAAAACCGGACAGAACCGGAACCATGACGCTGGGAAGATCACTATCCCCTTCCAGTTTGCGTGGCCGGTGAGTTGATCAATGATATTCTGGGTTTCTGTGGAAAAAGGGATGTTGCAAGTTTCTGCACCACAAAACTAAACATGATTGCATGTGAATAATGTCCAAGTTGTGTCTGAAAATGATGAATACTAAAAGGCAAATTGGATGTTTTGGTGGTGAATCATGGCACAGCCTGAAATCACTCTCTCTGTGTCCTGCTGAGTGTAATTTGGCACATTTTGGCACGGTTTTCTGCTTCTCTTTGCTGTCTGAGTGCGTGCCATTTGCTCTCTCTTGTTGTTAAATTTCAGCCTCTTAGTTTCTCAGAATATCTCATTAGGAACACTTTATTCCTCTTTTAGTGCTTTTGATCGAATAACTGTCTTTCTGACGTGCCAAAACGTCTGTGCGCGCTTTACGCACGACTTTTACGCACAGCAGCAGCAGTGCAGTGCGGTTAGATGAGTTACCAGACAAGCTGCTGTTTGTGTGGCTTCAGTTACAGTATGAGTGCAAGTGTGTGTGTGTGGAGGGGTAGAGGAGGAGGAGGGGGGTGTAGCGTGAGTGTTTGAAGGGTGAAAAATAAAAATTTCCAAGCCCATGTTGAAAAAGAAGTGGCAGGTAACTTATTATCTAATCCAAACAGAGCAGCAGCCAATCAAAACCTGCTCCTTACACTCCTTATTTGGAGAGGCAGCGTGGGAAACAGGAACCGTGTTTTAAGAAAGATTGTGAGAGGTTTAAGGAGCTGCTGTTCCAGTCAGAGATGTGTATCAGGGGAGGTTTGATGGTCGGGTTAGGGTGACGTCCCGTGGAGGAAACGTCACAGGTTTGATTCCCACTCCAGCTGAGTGAGCTGTCAAAATAAGGAGCTCCAGTCATCATGAGTCACAGTGGAGAAGAAAGACAGAAGTGATGAAAGTTGAATGGTCTCGCTGGAGTGGTTTATGACTATTTGTGTTTAAGATAAGATAAGATAAGATAAGGAGAACTTTATTGATCCCCAAAGAGAAATTAAATACTGAAATCTTTGTATGATTTCAGCTTTTTCTGAGTTACTAAAGTCATTTGTTCACAAAATATGAAAGATTTGAGCCCATTTAGAAGGATTAAAAGCTTAATTCAAGTAATTTATCATGATCATAGAACAAAAAACCCTAAAATATTCAAGTTAAGTTGAAGTGATTGAAGATTAAGTTGGAAAATAACACAATTCTTTCATTTGTTTGAAGAAATCAAGACATTTCAGACTCAATATTGAACATAACTGAACTATAATGACTTGGTAACACTGACTTTTAGAGATTGAAGCTGTTCTAATCTATAAAAATGGCATTATGCTGCTTTATATTCCAAAATATGAGATAAAAGATGTCAGTGTTAAATGAAGGCACAGTGTAAAGTTGTGGTGTTGGAGTAATTCCAGGATAAGACCGCAGGCTGCTCTAAAAGTCATGTGAAAACAGAACCAGAAGGACACAAGACTTCCTCAGATCTTGACGTCACCGTTGGTGAATCCCCTCGAAACAGCATAAAATATCCGACACTTATCAAACAGAACATTCTGATCCGACTGGGGATGTTCTCTTCTTTTTTCATACTTTCCGGGTCAAATTTTGGGCTTAAAACACATGCTCATATTTCAGATTTTGTCCCTTTGATAAGAGAAGTACATCTTTGTAGCGTGGCAACAGTGGAGGAGACTTCTAGAGTGCTGGAGGGGACCTTAAAAAGACATTAACTGAAATAATAAGAGGCTAAAATGTGGGATTTTTCAAAATCTGCCGTTTTAAATAAAGAAATACAACTTTGCAACAGTGGAGGAGGCTTCCAGAGTGCTCAAGGTGTCTCAAATAGACATTTCAGGCAGAGGCTAACATGAGGATTTTCAATACACCAGTCTGAGATATATAAAGAATCTGTTGTATATCATGTAAAACAACTACAAAGTTAGCTTAAGGAAAATATACAGCCAGAAAATGAGCGTAACACCCCTAACTCAGTGTTTGTTTGATATTGTGATGTGTCGATAAGAGTAGAAGACTAATCTTTTGTTAGTTAAAACTAAATTTAGCGTAAATTTAGTGTCGGACCATAAAAGATTAAAAGATTTCATCGGCTGGGGCAGAAAAATTGGCAGACAGCCCAATTTTTGTGGTTGAAAATGAAAAAAATGAAGCGATCTATGATTATGAAATGCACCAAATCTTCTGGAGTAATAAAAAAAACTGATAATGGAAATTAAATTTAGTCGTGGCAGCAGTAAAAAGGAGAACCCCGTCTGTGTGTCCATGTCAGATACATATATTGTACATATCAGGTGCTTTGTGTGCTCGGCCGGCTATGTGACCTCTCCATTCATCACTCCCCATGGTCAGCTGTCAGCAGAGGGGAAGATGGAAGTAGTAAGTTGGGGCCCTGCGGGCGGATACGGTTACCACTAAGTTGTGTGTGACACAGGCGGAGGGTATCGGTGTCACCAACTACTCAAACAAGTGAAGATCCCCGCTCAATCTGGGCCGGGGGATGCCTTTACATCGCCGCCTCTCAGGTTCACGCTCTCTCCGTTATTGGGTCATTGTCTCACTCGGCGTGTGTGGGGTCAGTATTTTCCACTATCCTCCCGGAAGGGGGGTGGAGGAGAGTGTGTGTGTGTGTGTGTTCGGGGGCACAAAAGACAGAGGGTATCAGTGTTCAGCAGCTTCTTCTGATGAGGCTGTCAAGGACGCAGCAGTTAAAAGTGTCATTATGTCTCATATTTTGACCAGTTTGACATCTCTCGCAGTTTTCATTGTTTTCTTTGAACTGGTCAGTGACGTATTTAAGACCAGAGGGTGATGTTGTTTGTTATTGATCTTAAGATAGAGCAAATCACCTTGCACTGGTGTGTAAATCCAAGATATACTCTACAGACATCTTGATTCTCAGGACCAACAGTCAAAGATGGGAACGCTTCACTCTTGAAAGGTGTGTTCATTGCAAACTCCGGTTCTGCCCGATGTTTCTGCCTGTTAAAAGAAAGTTTTCCTTGCCTCTTGTGCTACATGTTGACAGATTCATGGTTAAGTCTTTAATAATGATGTCATGAAGATTATAGTCTGGACCAGATCTTGATTGTCTGATCAGGGCAGATGGCTAATCACCTATGACTCTGGTCCTGCTTGAGGTCTCTGCCTGTTTAAAGGTGGTGTTTCTCTCTACTGTTGCCAAGTGCTCTTTGGTTTGAGTTTCTGCACATAGTACACGATGATGATCTAGATCTGCTCAAGTCGAGTGTTGTGTTTATTTAGTGGTGGCAGATGACATTCCACCTATTACTCTGGCGTTCCAGGTTTCTGCCTATTGAAGAATGAGTGTTTACTGCTGCTGGTGCTCTTTCAGTTTGATGAAATGTGTTGGTATTGTCCAGTTGAGCGGATGACTTTCCATCTCTGCAGAATCTGATTAGGGCAGATGACGAGCCACCAATTACTCTGCCACTGCTTAAGGTTTTTTCCCACTGAAAGGAGGTTTCTCCAAGTGCTGGTCCATAAATTCTGGCTCTGTCAACTGGACCAGATCTTTTTATGTTTAGGACTTTGGCTACCTGATGAAGGCAGATGACTTATCACCAGAAACTCTGGTTGTGCTCAGGTTTCTGCCTCTTCAAAGGCCGTGTTTTCTCTTCATTGTCTATGTGATGAAGATTTCACTGACTGTGGTCTTCTTGACCTGCTTGACCAGGTTCTGCTTTAAGTTTTCTGCCAGCTGACAGACAGATTTGCCTTGTTACTGGTGCAAAGAAATGCTGTCTATAAACCTTTCACATGTTCGTCCCCGCCTGTTTGCATGGTGTGAAATACAATCCGCCTGAAACATGTCGTGTTTTACTTTGCAAAGAAGCCGGATGTTTTATTTTGTGTCTGTGCCCGACTTCCTTTCCAGCACAGGTTAATCTGTGCTGAATTTATCGCAAGTAGAACTTTTGCGATCAGCTGTGGATTCCAGCGATCTGCAGCGGAACGGAAAGAAGCTGGTGGAAATTGACACATTAACTACAAACTTTCACAAGTCATAAGATCTAAAGAATCTTTGGATCTTGCTAAGTTTTCTGTTGGGTCTTGCTGTCGTTTTGGTCGATTTTGTCGCCATCTTGATTAAAATTTGTACCATGCTATTGTGACCGAATGTCCATGACTGAGGCCAACAGGTCTGAGTTTAGCAGGATTAATTATTATTATGGCATAGGAAGGACAAAATGTTGTATGTAGATATGAGGATGCAAGGTCTCAGGAGGTCCGAGAACTGACTAGAGCCTGAATCTGCTTCAGTTTGCAAAAGTATGGAAGTTTAAAAAAGTCTCTTTAAGCTCCTGCCAAAGGTTTTTGACATTAATGAAACAGCCTTAAGTTCATGTTGACGCCTTTCTGTGACAAACAAAAGCAAACAAGACTATCAGACACCAAAGGGGTAGGAAACAATCCAGTTTGAGTATTTTTGAAGCTCCAGATTTCCAGGATGTAAGACGACTGATGTCTCCCTCGGCTCGTACTGTACAAAGGCCGTCTCAGACCTCAGACTGTAGCTTCCACTCTGGCACGCTGTTGTCCCACAGACAGACAGCTTTGACAGCCACTTCTTAAGTGTGTGTGCGTGAATGTGTGTGCGTGTGTGTGTGTGAGGCTGTGCCCTGTAGCCTCTGGTGCTGCTATAGTGGACTCCTTCAGTGGGTCGGACAGTATCTGGGCCACTGGTCCTGACATGAATTAACTACTGAGGAACATAAAAAAGAGGGACATTGTTCTGCCGCCTCCTTCACTGATCATTTCCCCTTCATGCTAACCCCTCGGGCTGTTTGGGTCTTTAGTGACATCTTTTTCATGAAAGGGACGGGGGGGAGGAGGAGATGGGGGAGGAGGAGGGGGAGAGAAGGCAGCCCCCTCCCATTATAATATAAAAAACTCCACACAGCTTTCTTGTGAGGTTGCTGTCACGAGGGAGGTGTATTTTTAGGACGGGGGAAACTTAAGATGTTGCCTTATTTTACGGTAGCAACTGGTGCAAAAACAAGCATTTTCCTCTTCTCCTCTGCTTCCCCGCTCCTCACCCAAATCTTCTCCCGTCTCTCTCTCTCTCTCCTTATGGGGTATTTTTAGAGCTGCTGTCCTCCCCTCACCCCTCTGTGAGTAAATCAAGGATCAAGGGTGCGTACTCCTTCAGTTTCATGGCCCGTTTTCTTCCCCCCTGTGCCCCCTCTCTTGCCAGAACGCCCCCCACCTCTCCTCCCTAACCTCCTCCTCCCTCAGCCTGGCAGATCTGAGAGGACAGAGGTGGAACAGCTGTTGTTTAGAGACTTCCTCCTCCTCCTCCTCCTCCTCCTCCTCTCAGAATAAATGTTTTAGTGAAATAGCATTAGGAAAACAGGCTATGATTACAGATCAGCTCACTCGGAGGAGTATCAGTGAGCAATCGCAAAGTGCAAAGCTGGATGACGGCGAGTTGTCGGCTTCTTCTTTGGTCGTTTGGCTCATTTTGCCGAGTGCGTCCCTGGCACTCCGGGAGCTCCTCTTGGTTTTGGTGATGCTTTCACGGCTGATTAGTTTCGGTTGAAGAGGATAAGGGTGCGAGGGTGAACGAAGGTGTAGGGTTGATGGTGCAAACTTGAGTTCTTGAAATGATCCCAAAAAGTACAAATGACTTGGGTTTTTTTTCCACCGACATGTGCTCAACAGTCATGAGGATGGGAACTACTTGCAGGGCTGTTATTGTTTAGAAATATCAGCACCAGATGCTGCACCTAATGACGAGTATTTACTACACAGATTTGCTCTGGATTTAGGGCTTCCTAACGGTTTTTGGAGAGGCAGAGGAGGCGTGTCGGTGCAGATGTGGAGCACGTCAAATACCTGGACCATTTTTGAGTCCAAATACAAGGACATACTGTTAAAAACATGGATGACATGACAGCTCCCCAAAAATGATGCACCGTTCTCTGTTTTTTGAGTGCAGAGCTGTAAAGTTCAACAAGTCCAAGACCTAATGGGTCATTTTTTCATGCACTGAAATACGACACAATGGAGAGTTTACGAACGAGCGCCTCCGCTGGTCGACTGAGGTACCACACGGGCCCTTTGTATGACTCACAGATAAAATATGAATGCTAAATATGACTCTTAATGATCACCATATTCAGTTTTAACACCATTATAGACGAGAACATTGAATTTAAAATGTGCCGTTATTTTACCGTAAGAGGACGGATTTACAAATTTAGATTCCCTGTTTCGGAGATCGGGGGCATGTTTTAATTGGCAATTTCACTGTAGATTTGCACCCTATTGAATTGTATTCACATTACATGCGCATGCGTGCAATTTTTGATAGGGTTAGCAAGAAATGTCACACGGTGTCATGTCACGTCCAAAACACTCCTGCAAATGGGATTGAATAATGTGTTTTATCGTGATCATGTGCATGCAGATGTGTTCACAACTAAAGACAGTGGCGGAGGAAAACCACATTGGCTGCTCTTAGGTTTGGAACTTTTTATTGTTTCGTTTGGCGCAACAGCTGGGTGACACCGGTACCAGGCGGCACAGGCAGCAGCTCATTACGGCTCCTCCTGTAGCGGCGATGTACCGATCTCTGAAATGGAGGATCTAAATTTGTAAATCAGTCCTCTCGAGGTAAAGTAAAAGGGAGGCGCTCGTTAGTAAACGCTCCATTGGGTCGTATTTCAAAGCAAGAAAATTGACCCATTAGGTCGTTATGGATTGGAGGACTTGTTGGTAAAGTTGCCCATGTTTTCAACCAATTTACAAGCAGCTAGCGCCATGCTAAATTGTTTTGGGTTCATTTTTTAAAAACTTGGGGAGAATGAGATGTATAATCGACAGCGTATCCAGTCTAGTGGTTAGTAGTCATATATCTGATCGTAGCGACGCCAAATTTCCTCCATCCCTTTGTAACGCTGCGGACCAGAACAATCATATGATGCGCTAGCTTCTTGAGAAATCAGTTTCTGGAGTAAGAATCTCCTTTGTTTTTTGTCGAATTGTGTTTTTCCCGTTTCCCCAGAGTCTTTTGGATCATCTGGTCTGGAGGTCGGGCAGAGTTTATGGGAAATTCTCTTAGCCGAGTAATCTGCAAAACAAAACAAGCAAACATATTCATTTTCCTTCACTGGATCAGTTTCCTGGTAAAAATGTGATTTTGCAACAAGCTTGTCAGAGCTTGCTAGCCGCTTAAAACGACTGCAGTTGGATTCAGTGATAATCTGTCCATCTCTCCTCAGCTGTCATGTAATGTTTGGCTCTTAAAGGACCTTTTTCTCCAGGTTTGCACCTTTGACGCGTGTCTTTGTGAAGGGTTTCTTGGCTAATGTTGGTGTATTTTTCATAATTAGGTTTAATCAGACAGCTCTGACAAACACTGTCCTGCATGTTGCAGGTTGGAATCATGTATAAAAATAGAAATTTCAGAATAGTCAGTTTTGTTGCCAGTGGTCTTGTTTGCTTTTGTCTGTCATAAAAAAGCATCAATATGAGTTTTGGCCCATTTCTTGAACATCTAAAAAACTCCTCACTGGAGCTTTAACAGCCTGCAAACATCATGTCTACTCCTTTGTTGAACCCCAGAGCTAAAAGGCTGCACAAAGTTTTCTTTTTCCGTATTAATATGAAATTTAAAACATCAAACCCGGACAGTGTGGTCTCATGCAGTATGTAGGTTAACCCGGAACATGTTTCTGCGTGTACAACAACAAACAGAGGCCACAAGCGTCTCCCTCTGCGCGCCCTCTCTGCTCTGTGTCTTTAATAATCCTGAAAGCCTGCAGGACGGCCGCAGCGGGGCTCCGTTACGTGGTGTGTGTCGGCCAGGCGAGGCGCTTGAACGCTCTCTGCTCGGTTAACTGCGGTCAGGACGGGCCTGCTCGCCTTTCCCACGATGCCGCCGGGTCCAAGTCAGCTGACCCAGTCCTGGGGCGTAGAAATGTGTGATTAGCTGCTCAGTCTGTCCCGCAGATTGATTGTTGATGCTGCTGGTGGGTTTAAGTTTGAAGTGTGACCGGTGTGTGTGTATAGTGGCAGCTTTGTGTACTTGTGTTCATCACGCTATGGGGACATAAATCTTTTCTCACAGTTACATAACGGGGGGAAAAACAACACTCCTCGCACAGTTAAGCAACTTTTAGTGTTAAGTTTGGTCTAAGGGGGTAGTTTCAAACCTCAAGAGGATGAATGGGAGTTGAAGTCAATGTAAGAAGTTTGTGTAATGGTACAGGAGGAAGAGTAGACAGCTCATTATTAACCTTGTTGTAGGGCTGGACGATTATGGCAAAAATAATAACCACAGTTATTTGACTGATATTGAAATCACGATTAATAAACATGATTATTCATTCATTTCAAAACTTGAACCAACAAAACTTAACTTTAAATTTAACCTAAAAAACAGCCAGAATTAAATAAGTAACAAGTAAACAAGCAAAAAATTAATCAGTCCTATGATTGCCAACGATAACTTGCTAATGCTAAGACCTGTTAGCTCATGCTCCACGGTGCAGCGCCCATGAGTCAGAGTAAGAGCAACATAAATTAAAAAACAGAAACGCATTTTTAAGGTGTGGCGGCTTTTATTTAGCCGTGGCGGTATGAAACGGTCAATGGCATATAGGGGAAACACTGTGGTTGGTTGGTCGTGTTCCCCTTGGTAGCAGAAATGACAGCGTGACAAACTTTGCAAACAGTTTCCTTTTGCTCAACATCCGTCAAACTGAAGCCAAAATGTTTCCAGATAATTTAAGTTGTCCTACCTTTCTTCTGCCTTTCAAAATAAAACACAACTCTACGACAACTACATTATGATCAGGGCTGCAAAGTCCTAGTCAACTGGTCGACTTAGTGGTCAATACGTGCTAAATCTAGCAAAATTCTGATTGGTCAAATTACAGTCCTTGGTTAATTTCATAAGGAGGAACATACCAAGTGCTAATGGTGGTGTTTTCAGAGCCTGTCTCAGAGCACCCCTCTTGTTTTTACCAGTTTTGGACCAGCTGGAGACAAGAAGATTGAAGATTTTTTTCTCAGAATTTTCCCTGAATTGCCTTTTGTTTAAATTTTTCATTTTTGCTCGACCTCGGTCAAATTGAAGCCAAAATGTTCCCAGATAACTAAAGTTGTCCTAACTTTCTTCTTAACCACATTTCAACCGCTCTCTCCTCATAGTATTGATCCACACGTCACACGCTTGCTGCAGCTGCATGTAACGAAATCATGATTAAAATTCGATCAATCGTCCAGCTCTACCTCGTTGGCCTTTTGTCATGAAAAGAAGTTTATTCAGTCTTTCTAAGTTTCATTAATGTTTAGATGATGACTCCAAACTCAAAGAGATCAGCTCTAATGGTATAGAGAAAAAAATCAGATGCGAGATATACAGTAAGGCACCCACTACAGTGACTCACTATGAATACGAACACTTTCTTCTCATGTGTAACCTGAGACTCTATTACCACTTATATATCACAACCTCTTCACTCCTTATGCAGTGTGAAACTTTAGTATTGTTGCTATAGTTACCTGTCGTTTATTCTACACGGGGCCCTGATTTAGAGCTGCGGTGAAACTGACACTATGTTTAACATGTCCTGATATACCGTTACAGTGGACGCCTGCCAGCCAATCAGGAGCGAGCGTTTACATGCAACATTGAACCGCATCCAAGCCAACTTAATGAGTGTGTACATCATGTACGGATCGGTGTTGAACCGTGCATATGTTTGAGCGTCTCTTGACCCCATTTACACCTATCAATGATGATCATTTTAAGATTATTCATATTAAAGTTTTTCCACGTTATTTGTTTGGAACTTAAAGGTGTAATTCACCTTTTTTTTTGGCTCCAGTTGCTGCTGAACTCCATCAATGTCTTTCACACATGCTGAGATCTGATCACGGTGCGAGCCAGTCCTCGTGCAGATATGGTTTCGCTGATCTTATAGCGTCCCAGCTGCAATGCATTCAGCATGCATTTGCACCTTATATTAACACATATTTCCTTCATCTAAATAAGATATCGACTTTCTGATTACATGCTTACACCAGGCGTCAAAAGGCTCTGTGTGTGTTGGCATAGAGGTAATGAAATGCATGCGTTGCGGGCGTCGAGGTGAGCAGTGGTGATTTAAGCGTCAGACGCACACGCAGCTTTATTTCCCACTCGGCTGTGTGGCTGAGAAGCAGGGCAGTTTGGGAAATTAAGAAAGAGGAAGGTGGAGGTTCAAGAGGACCCAACCCTTCATTGTTGCTTTATTTGTTTATCTCCCCCAAATCTCACACATCCCTTTGTTTATCTTGTCCATCTTTCCCACTCTCCCTCGTACTAAGAGAAAACCCCGTAGCTACATATTTTGTGCGTTAGAAACCGTTTGGCTCCTGAGCTCCGCTTTTGTTAGCTTGTTTTGAGGGTGTGATCACACCTACAGTTTGCTTTCTTTGGTCTGAAACAGAGTGGGAAAAGATCGTCGTGTTGTGTTTTTGTATTTTGCTCATTCGGGCTCACATTGTGAAGCAGCTCATGGAGCAAAGTTACATGAAATCAGAAGGTTTTGATTCCCATCCTGCATGAGGTTTTGTAAGACGTGGCCTAAATTTTGATGGAGGTTTGAGGTCAGTCCTGTTTCCCAAAGTTAATTTCAAATCAAGATGGATTTCTCATGAAGAGCAGTCTGGGAATAAACAACTCTCTAACCTTTTGACCCTTCAACCCACTGATGAGCCAAATTCAATCCAAGAGTTTGTGTTAATTGCTTGATACGAACATGTCTCATCTAATCAAACTTACAAATAAGTTCCTGTCAGGTTTTCCTCTGAGTTTTTTTTTTCCCCTCCTCATCTGTGTGTTGCTGAAACTCGGCTTGTTGTCAGCGCTCTCTCCAGAGAGATCGGGTGAAGGTTCAGCAGCGTTTCTCAATCCATCTGGGCCCAGAATCTCTGTCAGTAACCTCAGTTACCCAACCTCCCACTTCATGGAGAAAGCCCCGTAACCTGCACCTCCATCTGCAACAGAATTTATCACAGTGTCCTCATTGACTCACTGGACTCGCCGTTTTGGGATTACAAGCAACATTGCATGATCACTCTTTTTGGTTTAACCTCAAATAAAGGGGTTAGGATGACTGGATGATTGAGAGTTTAAGTTTCTTCTAATTTTTCTTGCAAAAGTGTTTCAAAGCCATGACTGATAAAAAGTAGGAACTAGGAATGTCCAGTTGGGAAAGAGCCTTCAATATTTATTGCATAAAAGTCCTAATAGAGAGCCCTTCAAAATAAAACACAAATCTACAACAACTACATTACGATACAGTACAGATAGATTACAACATAGACTTTATATAGAATGAACGCCGTCTGCCTCCTCGCTGGGTGAAGACACCGTGAGAACAGCACCCTCTGGTGACGGGCTGCAGTATAGGTCATAAATCCCGCCTCCTCCAGCAATCCCTATGGAGCTGTGGACAAACTTTAGAAATTTATTACACAGAACATAAATGTTTCTCCCCCCTGGTTGCGATGTTGACATGTAGTTACTGTCAGACTGGTTTTTGCTCAATTCCTCATTTTTCTGTGAAGCTCCATTTTTAAAAGCTATTAGGGGGTTCATGTTCTCATAGATTGACACCTGATACAGCCTATTGGCGTACCAAAATTGTGTAGCTCACCCGTCATCACAGTGACTCTCGGCAACTCTCCCGCCAAATGCGTACAACGCTTCTGCGCAGTGCTGGTTTCAGGAAGTGGAAAATTATCGTGGAATTACCGAGAGCTTTTCAGAATCAAATCCGTATACTGGTGGAAGGCGGAACCAAGTTTTCCATAGTATATACAGTCTTTGGATTACAGTAGATATTGTCTATCTCATGCCTTTAAATAATAGCCCCAAAATAACTATAAATATCTTCACTTTTACTAAATTTTTGAGGTTTTTTTAAATACTGAAACAGTTTTAATTCGTTGTTCAGGTTGTTAAGGTTGTTTGCAGCTCAACAAATGTGTACATACAGAGGGAAGATAAGAGATCGTCTAACAGTTAAACAGTTACCTGTAAAAATAGTTTACTTTGAAACTGTTATTTTGATAGAAAAGTATTGTAGTCCCTCCAAACTCGACCCCACTTCAAGAACACCGCCGTCATTTGTTGCTCTGTATTTGTTGAAGAACTCGTCACCCAACCTGCCCTCGCACCACTTAAAGTTTCGCCTCCGGCTGAAGAGTTTACGTTAAAACAACATTTAGAGCTTGTTCTTCATACAGCAGAGTTTCTCCCTCTCACCACCTTGTCTCGGCTCGACACAATTTTATATCATTTGCTCGCGACGTTTCTGCTCAGGTTGCGAGGAAGCTGTTTGGGGATTTCCCCCTCGGCGTGAATATCACTTTCTCGGCCTGCTTTGACCTTTTCGTCGCCACGCCTTTCAGCGGGAACAATCACTTTATGGTTTTTTTAGCTTTTGTGCCCAGATATCGAGTCATCATGATGAGTAGAGGGAGGAGAGCGATGAGGATGAAAGAGAGAGATAAAGACGATCAGATAGAGAGAGGCAGCTGTACATGCTGAATCTGGTATTCAGGTTGGACAAAGAGCTGGGTCCAGTTGCTGGTAGGTGATAATCAAATTTAGGATCATTATCAGACACTAATGGCTTAACTGACTCCAACAACCTGTTTTTTCAGAAGCTAACACAGTCCAAGGATTGAATACAAGCACCACTTTCTTTTTATTGAGGTTTAATTTGTCTTTCTTGAGCCCAATATGTCATCCGCCAATCACTCTGACCTACAGTGAAATATCCTAAAGGGATCTAGTTAATAAGATGAATTAAAGCTCAGGATCCCCTTATCAGAGAGGCTGCAATCTTCAAACTGTGAGACTCAACATTAGGGCTGGGCGATAAACCGAAAATTTACCGATAACGAAATTTACAACAATAACCGCAGTCAATTTATTTGGTGTCAAAACAATAAATAAATAAAAGTTGGTTTTGGATGTGTGTAGGTAGGCTATGGTTTCATGTCCCTTTAAGACGTGACTCCACCCCATCCAGTCCGTAACAAAGAGGGAAAGACAGGTGAGGAGATGGAGGACGGTTCAAAAGCTGTAGCGGCTGAAGTAGACGAAGTTAATGTGGGAGGGGGTGAGCAGCTTGTAAGATAAGATTAGACAAGATGTTCCTTTAATATTCCCTCAGGGGGAGATTCTGAAATTACAGCAGCATAGTTTGATACAAAAAGAGAAACTAAAAAGATAAAAAAACTTTGAGTTAAAACAAGATATGTGCATGTGTCATATTTACATCTGTACTATAATTATAGGGTTTCTTGCACATTGAGGTTCCTGTTGTGGAGTAGTTATCGTCCATTTATTATTATCGTGGCGAACTGCTCAATACATTGTGATATTGATTTGACGCCATATCGCCCAGCCCTACTCAACATGGAAACACTCGGCTTCAGTGATGAGTGAAAACTTCCTTCAATAGGCAGAAACCTCGGGCAGAACCAGACTCGAGGTGAACAGCCATCTGCTGAGAGTAGGCAGACTGACTTAGTTGTAGCCATTATCTTGCTCACCTGTTCATGAATGTATGTATGAATGAATGAGGTTCTGCGGTGTGTGTGAAATTCCCCAGTAGCAATCCCTCTTTCAGGGAAACGAAAGTGAGAGTTTCTGCTTCCTCTTTCCCACCGTCAGCTACATATTTACCCCCAAAGCTCTCCACTTTGACACTTGCCTCTAGCTGTTCAGTCATGAAGCATTAAAACTCGCTCATCTTCTGGATTTATCTAAACCTGTTTATTACGACCTACAGAAGATCCTCGGTGAGTCACGGCAGATTTGCATGGTCTGAATTTCTCTCTCTTTCCCTCTCTGGTGTTTTCGTCCACTTCTCTCTGTTTACAGCCTGTTATCGAATCAGCAGCTCCAGCCAAGCATTTGAACCGGTCACAGACTCGTTCCCAGCATTACCCGTGCATATGAGTCTGCAGGAAATCTGTTAGTCTGCTTTTTTTTTGAAAACTGACTCAATTTGAGACATTTCCTGCAGAGATTTTGGTGCAGTATAGAGTATTTTCAAAGCAGTGAACATGATAAAACATAATTTTATTAGATCTTTTTACAGAAATGTGGCCTTCTTAAATATATCCATGGGTAGGTATCCAGTTTTTTTAAGCGTCTTATTCTTAATCAGGGCTGTGAGGGGTATGACAATGCAGCTTTGACATTAGACAAAGTGATTAAGGATAAGAAAGCATACTCTCCTATGCTGTACTGTATATTATCCACTGTGTTTTAGATAACAGCCGAACAGTGGGGGTTTAGGTTGAGTCTGTGCAGCCAGATTCCCAGCAGCAGCATCTGAGCACAAACAAAGTGGCGAAGAGGTAATAAAAAATAGTGCTTAGATTTTATCTCCCTACATGCTGTGACGTACTGAGATCATTGTTGGAAATCTTAAAGTTCATGAAGAAGAAACTAAAGTGTTGGAAAAAGAGGCGAAGGCGTCGTAAAGTGAAGCATGTAAAGAATCGATTCACCATAAAAGACAAATTCAGAGGATTTCTCACTTTTTGCTGGAGGAGCCGTCGTCGTCGTCGCCGCCGTAACCTGGAGCGACAGAAATAGCTCCTCTACGTTTGGTGTGGGAAAAGTGAATTGGGTCATTTTTCCGTTCTGCAGCTCAGTATAAAGACCTGATTAGATTAGCTTTGATTAGATTTGCTGTCTGAACGAGGCCTCCTGGAGGGGGTGGGTTGTTGAGCTGAGGCCTCCTTAGAGAGAGGTGGTTGTGGTGGTGGTGGTGGTGGTGGTGATGGTGATGGTGGTGATGGTGGTTGGTGGAGGAGTGAGGAGGGGGGCTTGTTCTGTTAATAATGTGCTAAATTAACCATCCCGGCTCCTCTCTGCCGGGAGCGACATGTTTTATTCATGTCAGTAGACTAACAGGTGTGACGTGACAGGTGTTACTGCTGTGTTTTTTTTCTAATTTCTGTCTCTGATCACAACTCCAGGAAAGTTGTTAATTGGGTCTCAGTTTTTTTTTAAACGATTAACGAATTCCATGCTGCTGTGAATTATCTAAAAAAGGAGCATTCCTCTTAATTTCAGTTCATTTCTATCTGCTAAAATTGTCAACATGACAGTGACGCCTATTTCTTTGTTACTTTAAGTGCCGTTTAAGTCCCTGCTGACCAACAATTGTGTTGTATGAATGTTGTTTTATAAAGGTTTTACTGAAGACTGTGTTTACTGTAATGGTTAATGAATGTATATTGTGCACTTTATTGACTTTGTAGCCACGTTGTACTTTGTTGTTTTACGAGGGACCCTTATGTTTGACGAGCCATCAAATGTGACTCTCCTCCTCTAACTGTCGAGCTACACAAACCAATGTTTAACCAGTGACTTATATGCTAATTAGATCCGTTAAACTCAGACTGTTCGCAGTTTTATGGTGTGTAGGGCTGGGCGATAAAACAAAAATTTACAGATACTGAAATTTACAACAATAACTGTAAATTTTCATTTTGCCCATATCGGTGTATTTGATATATTTGGATGTGTGTAGGTAGGCTATGGTCTCATGTCACTTGAAGACGTGACTCCACCCCACTCAGTCCGTAACAAAGAGGGAAAGACAGGTGAGGAGATGGAGGACGGTTTAAAAGTTGCAGCAGCTGAAGTAGACAAAGTTCATGTGGGAGGGGGTGAGCAGCTTGTGGAGTAGTTATCGTCCATTTATCGTGAACTGATCAATATATCGTGATATTGATTTGAGGCCATATCGCCCAGCCCTAGTTGTGTGTGTGGTTTTTATTTTTAGCAATTTAAGCTTTGACTAAAAGTGTCTCTAAAATTTGACCAAAAAGTTGCGTTTGTACTGAAGCACTGAACAGTTGCAGTTCCTCGTGTGCCCACTAGAGGCTTGCTCTAAAGTAAAGGAGTCTCCAGTAACACCTGTGTTAAAACGTACAACTTCACAGCAGAAATAATCATGTTTACAGTCTAGTATTATAAAATTAATCTGCTTTAAAGACAGTAAGGGAAAAAGTTTTTTGAATAATTAGAAAAAGCTTTACCTATTTGCCTTCTGGTTGACTCAGCATTTCCAATACATAACACGCCATCATCAAGCTTTAAATTCTACTTAAGGAACCACGGGGTGTCGTCTCTGATAATACCTCTTATCAACTCACGAGCTACAGATATGCAGCGTCATTTAGTGGAGACTAAAACCTGAATTTTAGACTTTTTTTCACATTTCTGTTGATCCTAAACGACCCTCGTTTCTGCTTTTTTCCTGGAAGCTGTTTGTTTGTTTACCGGTGAGTCCAGCTTCCTTTTTTCTAAGAATTAATTGACCTCATCAGTCTGTGCGCTCTCTAAGAATGAGGTGGCAGCTAAACTGAGCAGTAATTCATGAAATCATGACAAAAAGATTATTTTATTTTATTTTAAACCAGTTTACTGTCACAGATGTTGTGGATAGAATATTCATAGTTCACATTATGGACATTATACTCAGTGTAGGAGCCGCACATGTTACTGTAATCATAGTATAACAAACACACATGCAACATGCAAGAAAATAACTGCAGTGTTACGACAAAAGCAGCTTAACTGAAGACTGAAATTTCTTTGTCAAAACTAAACCCCATCAGCATGTATGACAAACAGAGTTCTGTGCAGCAGCAGCAGCTCCAGACTCCACACTATATTCTCAGCAGAGCGGCGTGTAGCTGGCGGCTGTTCCTGCCGCGCTGAAGCAGTAATTTATTCATTGAACAGGTGAAGGCGGTGCAGAGTGGGCCGGTTTCTCCTCGCCTAATGAAAACCCAAATCCCTCTGACTCCTGTAAATTGGTTAGGAGGTGTCAAGTGTCTCCCAACACGTCCCCACCCTCCCCTTCTTCTCCCCCCCTCACACACACTCAGATTTGACTCATAAGGTCGTCTCTCTGCAGACAGCAGGGACGTGACACTTTGATCCTCCAGCTCTTCTCCTTCAAGGACACAAACTGCACACTGGAGTTCAGGCGCACACTCTGACATGTACCCACACACACACACACTTACACACACACACACACACACACTCATGTCAGGCACCTCTGAGGCCGTGGGACAGCCCCATCTGTCTGGGAGCCGGTGGCTGTGACATTTAAAATTGATTACAAAGGCAAAGATTGATTATGATAATGTCCACTTATTTTCACTCATTACAGAGTTATGGCCGCTCAGCCAGCTCATAAATCACCGCTGTGTCATCTCCAGCTGATGGGGAACGAGCCCCAGTGTGATCAGGGGACGCCGCTGAGGCTGTCAGCGAGAGCGTCCTCACGATGAGTTCATTATTTTGGAGGCTAAGAGTGTTTGAAGTAAATATTTGTTTTGCTTTTAGATTATATCTGATACAGACTCAGAAATAGACATTCACCATCTTTAGCGACAAACAAAACAAGTTTGAAACCGAATAAACATATTTGATCATGCAAAACATGATTGTTTGACCGCTAAATCATTCGACAGCCAATATTTAATGAAGGTAAAGAAAGAAACACAGGAACATTTTAGATTATGAAGGATTCAGAGGAAGTATGACTTCTTTATTAATCACACCCCCTCTCCTTAAATCGGCAATAAATCATTGTTTTGCTTTCTCACGTGTCCATAATAATTCCCATATTGTTCTAATTACCAACAATCTCTGTCCTATAACAAGATATAAACAACATATGTGTCTTAATCTTCTTAAATCTGCTTAAATAGTTTAATGCACATGATTTGATATAAGTTACTTTGGTGTAAAAGACATTCTCATTAGTTTTGTATTGAGTCAAAATCAAATCATAAATGATCATAAATTTTCTTGCATATTTTTCCACTTTTACATCAAGAAACTTAAGAAACCTGAAGACAGTTTTTAAGTGATATTTCAGCGAAAAATGGAGTTCAAAAGAGACAGAATTGAGAGGGAAAAAATACATATGTAATGATAACAAAGGCTGTTATTCCATGTATGTTATCTATATGTTATCTTAGGCAAAAACTTGTTTCAGATAGTTTTAAAATAATTCATAAAATAGTAAAAACATTGAGCTATATGACATATTTATAACAGTTGTGATATAAGACTCATAGTTCGACTCATGTTAATAGAATATTTGGTCTGTTGTCTTTCAGGATTGGTGAAACATGTTATTATTTAAAGTGATTTTAGCAGCAATTAAATATAAATAACTCCCCCCAGTCTGTGTTGATAAATTAGACCTTTTTGTTCTTTTTTTAGTTTTGCAAAAATGTTTCTGCATCCCTACTAAAAGCAAACACTTGATTCTTGATTTAAAGAGATGAGCTGAAAGGATCAGGGAAACACTTCTTTGTGTTTCTGAGATATCTTGTTTTTTTGCCTCCTGCGAGCGCATTAAAACTTTTTATCACTTCGAAGTGCACAAAGTGAAAGAGTTCGAAGCTGTGATTTGAGAGCGCAGTGTTCCTCTCGGTCTGAATCCTGGTGATGTAACTGCTCAGCTTTGGCTGACTCTCTCTTGTTGATGGTTGGTTGCGTTCTTACGCTCTCAGAGGGAAGGGACGGTTAAACCGGAGATCTTTTCGGGAAATAACATGACCAGACATGACAAATATCCTCATCTGAAAAATCTGCTGGATTCTTTTCCAACTTTTTGACTGCTTTGTTAAATAACACATGAGCCTAAGACTGTAATTCAGCATTGATATTTGTGCACTTTCAGCACAGGAAGCTCACTATCATGGATCTGGATTTGTTCAGGTCTAAAACAATCGGTTAAATTGATCCATAGAGGGTGGTCCTCGGATTTTTTGTCTCTTTGTTTTGATTTTAAATTTTGAGTATTGGTTTGCTGTTTTCGTTTTTTTGTAGTTTTACTTTCTTTTTTGTAGTTAAACTTTCGTTCAGCTAGGGCTGGGCGATATGGCCTCAAATCAATATCACGTAAACGTAAACTTGACGTCGGTTATTGTCGTAAATTTCGGTATCTGTATATTTTTGTTTTATCACCCAGCCCTACATTCAGCTTCACATTACTGTACTAATTTGGCTAAAACCAGCTTCATAGATCAGCTGATTTATAAAAAAAATAAAGTTATCAGCTGTTATTTTTATTAGCGAGTTATTTGCTTGTTTTACGTCATGAGTGTGTCCGTGTTTATTCCCACCTGATCAAAGCTAAAGTCGAAACACCAAATGTTGCCAAATTTGAGGACAGCAGCTCTGAACCTGCCTGTTGTGACGTACCCTGAAGCAACCGCAAAGTACTTGTAACAACACGGACTCGTATCTGTCTCACAGTTTTCCTTCTCCTTCATCTCTCTCTCACGTTCGTCCGAACCGTGAACTCCCGCACCCCAAAATCTGAGCGCCGTAAAGCACTTTAGCTCTCTACCTTTGTGTTTCATGTCCCCGTGCTCCCCTCTGCCTCTAATCTCTCCCAGCACCACTTTGTAACGTCCCCTGTAATCTTCCCTGCAGCCCTCAGTCACTCTGAGTCACACTTGGGTCATGGGAACTCACAGCTGCTAGCCCGGCCCCATGCAGTTGACAGACAGCGAGCTCCATTTTGGTTTGTTTGCTGATGCCCATGAAAAAAAAGGAAGAAAAAATTGCTCTGCACCTGAAACAATTTCAGAGTTGGAGTTTGTCGGCGGAGTCTTCTCTGGAAAGTAGGGCATAGTGTGCAGGCATGCTGGGACATCACGCTCAACATCCACACAGCTCTGAATCGCAGCTCTGATACTGTAAAATGATTAAAATCATAGTTTTATCTCACAAATACTCTCTAACCTTTTATTTCACTCTTGCACTTTGAGCGTTATGATTTGATATCTGTGAAACAAACTTTAAAACATTCAGACTTTTCTGTTTACTCTAAAGTTTCCTCGCCAGTTTGGGACTTTTCAAGATGAAGAGTTTGCATAGAGAGTTAAGCACATAGTCACATTTTTATGTGATACTAAGTGTTTGGGATTCGTGACACTTTTAAAACACAACTTTGATCATCATTGTGGATGTTTAAAGTTGATTGTGTTTATTAGAAACACTTTAGGATAGTTTTTCCGTAATTCGACTAATAACTTTGGACTTTTTCTAATTTTTCCAAAAGTATCAGGAAATATTGACGCTGTTATGTTTAGTTTTTTTTTTTGGACATTAAACCATGATGTAAAAATCTGATATTTTGACAGCAATGTCTTTATTTAAAGGACCAGATTTGATCAGTTTGACAGTCAGGTAGGAGCTAGCTTTGTGTTTTTGCTTTGTAATGAACAAAAAAAGGTGAAAAACATCAGCTGAATTGGTTATAAATTCTCAGTGATTTCCTAGCAGTGACAACAATCCAGAGGTTTCCCTTTTGAGCAGAAGATGCTGATCCAGGATTTCCAAAAAGACCACCAAATTTTGCCCTTCACCTCATTCAGGCCTTACTTCTTAAAGGCAAAAACAGAAAAATACCGGTCCAAGCTGTCTAAAGTATTCCTTTGTCTCTTTTCAGCTCATAATACCTGTCCACAAACGTTTATCAGTATTGATCCCATCAGCCCAAATGTCTCCCTTGCCATTTGACTTAAAAGCCACTCTGAGTTCCAAATAGATCCCCACGGAAAAGGCCGGAAAGATGAATCCCCCCCCATTGGAAATCAATATATTACCACAGAAAGTGCCCTTGAGCAAGTTATCAAATCGCTGCGAGTTCCAGAGGTGCTGACCTCCCTGTGGAGCGGAGAAAAGATGAACCTCTCTGCCCTCTGGGATCGATACGAGAGAAGAAATCCAGGAGTGATCTAGTGAGAGAAAAGCAGATTCACTTTCTGACTCTGAATCTACGTTATCGTCATAAAACAGACGTGTCCAGTGGAATAAATAAACAGTATTTCACTGTTTTCCGGGTGAATGTTTAGTTCTTCGATAGAACACTCGTTAACCGGCCTCGGGCGCCTGGAAGCTAATCAGTGACAACAGCGTGGGAACAAGACTTCTTTCCCATCGTTACTCACCTTTTATGCAAAATATGAAAGTGTGAGAGCGTGTGAGTGAAAGCACTCGTGTGTCTGAGTGACGGCAGCTCATATCTGAGTTTCTGTGTGAACCCTGCATCACATGTGCACGCCCATGTTTTCGAGTGAGAATATCTGAGTTTCTTTGTGTCTGTATTAGCGGTGCACTATGATAACCTCTGCCCTCTCTCTCTCTCTCTTTCAGCGAGCATACACTGTGATGGTGGAGGCGTGGGACAGGGATAATGGAACACACAGCAACGGTAAGGATCATAAAAACACGGTGTTACCATGCATTATCTATCTACACACTTTATTCTCACTTAGACACTTCTCCTCTTTAAGTTGCATCACTTACTTTAGCAACATGCTTAAAACGGCTCTAAAGAGACCGGTTTCTGGAGTTTTAAAAGAGGATGGATGTCTAAATCCTGGACTTTCTGCCTTGATTTGGGGTCTCCTTTGGCGTATTTTTGGTTTCTTGATTTCTTGAGGTTGCAGGCAGGTCAAGTTGAGCACCAGGACCCTTCTACTACAGAGCCATTCTGTTCAAATACATGCAGATTTTAGTTTGTCATCTCTTTGCTGTACTGTTTAAGGTCTTAACTGAAAAAGGCGCCATCTGAAGGGCAGCATATGTCGCTCCAAACCCTGTATGTATTGATTAGCATTAATGGCGCCCTCCCAGATGTTTTAAATACCCATGAATTGGGTTCATATGCATCCCACAAACCCCAGAAGATCCACGATTTCCAAAAAGAATGTAAATTTGTCTTAACCAGACCACATGACAGTTCTACTTTTTGCCCCAGATCATCTTAAATGGGCATGGTTCGAGTGTTTTTAAGTCGTGTTTCAGTAAGGATTCCTCTGTGTTGGGATTTCCACTGCAGAGTCATGTCTGTTTTTGACCTTGTACAGAGGTTTCTTCAGATTTTTTCACTCTTTTTATTTAACTAGGGTTAGTTTGGAGATGTTGCTCTATGTTTGATTACGGTATTGCACAAATTTTCAATAAAAAAACCCTAAATTTTAATTTATTGATGTCGTTTTTGCACTTTTTTAAAATCAAATATAGAGTTTGACTGATTTCCCAACCAGCAAATTCTGTCTTTAATCGACTTTTTGCCCAGCAGTACAGTTTTCTTGGAATTGGGGTGTCCACATAAACAAACTTTTAAATGTGATGATGTGCGAGTCCAGGTTTTGTTCAGTGTTTTGGCGTGCATGGCTGATTATTATGGCTTTGGCGTGTGCACCCCACCAATTCCAAATAGTTTGGTAGAAATCTCAGGAGTCCTCTGGATTCACCCTGAAGGTCTTGGCCCTGATTTAATTTCTCTCATTAGGTTTCATTGTTGACGCATGAAAAGACTGAGCTAACAGAGGCTAAGTTGGTTAGTTTGTCTCTCAAGAAGGATGAGCATGAAGGTCCTCAGCAAACACAACGAAAACTGAGACCACCAGAGTTTGGACTCGTTGCGCCAAAGTAAAGATTGAAATTATCTCCCACCCTTGGGTGTAGATGTTTGTGTTGCACTTGTGTCGTGGCCAAAAGATAGGCAAAGATGTGGAAAGCTGTGAATTCTGCGATGAATTCCACCATTGATAAATAATTAAAGCACTGGGAAACCGAGAAGCTGCGACCCAACCCAATTTATCATTGGATTAAATTAATCATCTATCCACCCTCCGTGCAACTTTGCAGAAGTAGTTCTTGCAAAAGAGGTGTGCATGCACCACCATGATTATGCCAGATTGATGAATATGTGCAAGTCGTTCTCACAGGTGGTAATCCAGTTGGCTTGGCTTGGAAACCAATCGTAAAATCTCTGAGCCTGTTTTTGGGATGTTACCAATGTTTAACTTGTGAACGAGGGTGTAAAATCAACCCGCAGAGCCAAAAGAATCGGTTCTGACCTGCCTGCACAATGACGTCTTTCGTTTGCAGCTGCATCCTGTTTATACTCACGTCTTAAATCTTGGCGCTGTTGGACCATGGCGTTCCCTTAATACCACTGGGAGGAAGAAGGGTTAATTGAGGGATGTAATCTAAGCAATAGGACAATGTTTTTTTTTTTCTTCAAGCTTTGGCTCGATGTTTATTACAGCTGATTCGAGGCTCACATCGATTGATGACAATGGCTGCCTTTGTTGTGCCTCTGTTACGACCACATTTGAGGTTGTCTCTGCACCTAAATACCTTCAGATTTGTTCAGGGTCAGTGTGGCTCGAAAGCCCCAGGTGTTGGTAATGGATTGGGACAAATCTGATGGCTGATATGATGCTGTCATGGTTTGTTCCTGATGTTCCTGATAATCGATGCTGGAGCAGATGTTTTAAACTCATGTGACACAGGTTTGATGTGTGAATTCAGCCTTTATGTAGAGTTGGTAGATTTAGGGTTTGATAAGCTTGGGGTTGTAACTGGACTGTTTATCAGGAGGTGGAACATCATCTTGAACCTCCTGACCAGGTCTTCTTATGACATCCTACCTTTGAGAAAAGATAAGGTCGTGGTACCACCCCCAGTTTTTCGGTTCATCATGTCTCCCATTCCTCCAGACTTTCTGACCCAGATTCAAGTGTTGCCGCCGGGAAGAACTAACCTTTCGCTTTTATTTTTTAAGCTAGAAAAGTTCATTTTAAGCACGCCGACACATTAGCAGCTGCTGCAGATCCGAGAAGGAATGCCAAGCAGTAAACCTAAGTCACGATACCAAACACCTGTAATCCTTTGACTAAAATGAAAGGAATGGTAGATGTGTGCCACGGTTTATGATTTTTGCCCTGAGCGAGCATGTCACTCTGACATTCAAGACTCAGAACCTGAACAGTCATAAAACTCATAAGCTATGGGCTAAGGTGTGGACACAACGATCTGTGCCATGGTTGTACTCTAACTTTGCCATGTCCTCTTCTAAGATAATTAACCCGTTAACTCTGAGTCGCAGTGCTTCTTTTTAAACCCTGTCTTCTTTCCGCTGATGTCCATCTCCTCTTGACAGCTGTCCTGCTACCGTACGCCACTTTATTATCCTGAAACACTCTTGACAGGCCGGCTTCCACACAGCCTCGGATGTTAATTCTGAAGTTAGGACACTTAAGTCTTTGCTTACAAGACCACCTGTAGATGTGTCAGTGTGGCGGTCGGAGGGGGGGACGCTTTAATGATCCTCAAAGAGGCGAGGTTGGCAAGCACTGACAGGAAGTGCCGACACCTCGACCGCCGTGTCCCATCTTGTAGACTTGGACTGAGTGTTTCTCTCAGTGCGTGATTACAAGTTTGATCCCATAATCTGACAGTAAGTCTGTCAGCAGCCATGTGTCCTGTCAAAGTGAAACTCCACTCGCTTGCGTCATTCAAAGTCACGCCGGAGGGGCTAAAAAATGAATCTGCTGTGATGGTCATCCACTTTCACTCATCTGATTCCGCCTCAGTTTGGGGTTTCCTACAGTCACAGAGCAGGCACGAACCTGCCTTATCCGAAGGTGTTTTGTGTGACATGCAAAAAGTACAATCATTAGTGATTCTGCAGAACAATTAAAGAGAGAGAGAGTGGTAATCTGTGACAGACCAGGTGTGAACAGGAATCAGAGTTTAAGGATGTCGTGATCAGGTTTGATTTGCCCCAGAGCCCGTGTCGAGTCCTCTGATTGTGTGCCAGTAGACCTAACTATGATATCATACGTAATAAAGAAAACATACTGTGTATAAAAGTAGATAAAACAAGTTTGACAGTGAGATAACTCTGCTTACTGAAAACAACTTGCTGCTTTTTATATGTTGCCAAGTGGGAGAAGATTTTGAAGAGATTTCTACTGAAATGACGCCTTCCTTGACAGATCGAACTACCATAAATTTTGGTGAAATTTGCCTTTTATACTTTTTTTTGCCATCTTAAAAGTAAGCTGCATCACTGCTGCTACCATTATACCAATATAAGATGAGGAAAGGGGTCCTCTATATGGGTAGCAGGGGTTCATTCATACGACTACACGACTACATTACCAGCAGCTAGAAGGAGGTATTAGAAACAGCTACACAGCTGTAGGTCTGCCAGGATTATCCAATTAATCGATTAATTGCAATAATAATCGTATCAGATTAATTGTTTGTGGCAGCCCTACACAGCTACATGGAAACTTGACATTGCTGAATTTTAAAAAAAGTTGTGAAACATTTTTTCATCTTCTGTCTTTTTTTAACCTCTGCAAATTTAAACGGTTATTTAAGCTCGTTTGCTAAAAATAACCGTTAAAGTCATACATGACGTCTTTTACTTGTAGATTGTGAGGATTTGCTGGTTTTCCTCATTCCTTCTCTTTTAATTCTCAAATCAACTGATTCGATCAGTTTCCAAGTAAATCAGTTAATCGTCTGCAAATTGTCAAATATGGGTAGAAAAGCTTATTTCTCAAAGCCTGTTTTTATTTATCTTAATCATTTAATTTATTTGATCATTTGTTCAAAAACCTAAAAATCTTCAATCGTTGTTACTAAGTTATTCCAAAGGTTTGATGTTTCTGCAGGATTAAATGAGCACCACCTTTGTTTTTGACATTAATAGGAATATCAGTGTCAGTAAAAGTAACTGTTATAACTTGCGTTTGTATTTTTCCAGCGTTGCAAAGGTTAATCACACTTTATAAGCTGTACACTAATCCATTTAAGGATGTCCTGCAGGTATCACATGACACTCTTAAGTATAAGTACAGTTATCTGGCAAAAAAAACCCCAAAATAATGGCATCATGGCAACAATCATCATAATTAAGAGATTACAACAAAATAGCTTCAAGTGCATGTGGTCGGTTTTCCCCCTCCGAGGAGTCGGTGGATGTTTTGAGACGCCACGATTCCAGTTTCCTGCCCTGAGTTACAGTCTGTGCTGCAGGAGCTTTGTGTGAACAGGTCTGGGCAGCAGGTTGGAGAGGCCTCAGGAAAAAGAAGGCTTTGTGAAGGCTGTTTATGCTTCAGGAAGCCCCCGCCTGTTTAAAAACAAAACAGAAATGGCAGAAGAAAAGAGGACAGAGCTGTTGTTGACTCTGTGGGTTGGTGGATTTTTTGGCTCGTATGGAGCTTCACTGGAGGGTGAAGATTTACCGATACTGGGCTTGTGCCAGACGCTGAGCTGATAGGAGTAAAACATCTGGATTGGAGAATCTTTATGGAAACAGTCGACGGAAATGTCTGATAATTTCCTTTACTTCCCAGCAACGCACAATTAATCCAGCTGACAAGTGACGTGTTTGCATCCAGAGCCTTCGACTGCATGTCTTACACCCCAGATTTAACATCCTCCTTATTGGCACCTTTAGGGAATTATTAACCTTTACACCGCTAAGAACTTTCATCTTTACATTATCGAAAAGTTAAGTGGAAGCCTATTCATGAAGATTAAAGTGAGCACAGAAAATTAAGTAATTTGCTTTACTGACATGGAAGCGTGTGCCAAACTGTAAAATAGCAATAAAAAGAACTTATTTAAAGTTTTGGCGAACACGGAGCAGCCTTTGAAATTCAATCAAGTGTAATTTTTGCGTCTTACGATTTCCGTGACACTTTCATAAGTGTTTTGATGCAGTTAACTCCACCCGGCTGGAGCGCCTAACAGGTTAAAACAAATCCACCAAGAGCAGAAAAGGTCACTGAAGTCATTTAAAGCTCTTTGATGTAACCTTGTGATTATTAATGATGTGATTTGATCATAAAAGGAGAAAAAAAAGAGGAAGAAAAAAAAGTTTTGACTACCTGGATACTTCCCAAAACAAAATAGCTCCTTAACAACCAGGTTATTGTCACTGAATCACTGTTAGTGTGCAGAAAATAACACTTTCTCTGACTTTTTACTGTTGTAATTTTGCATGCATTTCTCAGTCCTCTGCACTTCATTCCTTCTGCAAATCCTGAGCAGATCTATACGGACCAGATGGATCCGAAAATATGACGTGTTTCTGAGAAAATAAGAAAATCAGACGTCTGGTTAAGTGGAGGAAAAATTAACAGACGCATGTGAACCTGCAGCGGGAGCTCAGCTTTGACTCCGGTTAAATGGTCACCACTGTTACAAGCTAAAAGCTGTAAGAAGGTCAAAGGTCAGAGCTTAAGTGCCACAGCCCTCTAACATAACACTCCAGTTACAAGCAGCTTGTTGCATCGAAGCACAAACTACTGTGTCGGTAAAACGAATCTCCTCTTCACACGGACAATCACGCCGCTCTCGAAATGATCAGCTGCTCAGATCTGAAGCCCCTGGTTGTTTATATAAGCCGGTTTTATATGGCCCACTCTCTCCTGCTCTCCCTAGTAACAACAGCCTCTCTTAGCGTGTCTCTTCCAGTACAGAGAAAGCTCATGATTGGTCTATATTTTTATATCTAATTGCTGGAGATGAACAGCAGTGAGTGAGTGAGTGAGTGAGTGCCTGGGTGTTTCAGGTGGTGGGTGTGGGACTGAAATCTGTGGCAGTGTGTTAGCTCACAGAGAGACTTGGTAAATCAGGACAGTGTGAAAATGGATCTTATTAAGCGGTGTAAAACTTCACGAGATAATCAGAGTATTCAAGCGCAGAAAAAAGGCTCAAGTTGATATTTTCTTAGACGCTTACTTCCTTAAATCTTAAGAGTGAAAAGAGCTCACAGATGTCCATGATGTGTGAAGTATTCGGTGCTAATTTGTTATATTTTCGGTAAAACCCAGCCGTGTTTCTCGGTGGATTCACTCCATTAACTGGACAACAACACTGCGAGCGATGACGATGAGTACTTCCTCCCGGCTCTGTCAAGTCCAGGTCACTCAGGGCTCCACAAGCCGCGCCGGCAGCGAAGCCTGCTGGGTCATGGTTCTTCTGTTCCTTGAGAACAAGCTAAAGGGTCTTTCCTATGTCGCCCTTCCTCGTCTGTTCCCCGTCTCTTATTATTTCCGGCCTGGCTCCGATGGAGTCGAGGCTGGATATCCTGAGAAGGGGCGGTGAGGAGGAGAGGAGGAGGAGGGGGTTGAGGACAGAAAAGAATTTCACCAAGCAGGAAAACTGAAAAAGCGTTTTGGTTATCAAGCCCTCGCAGACCTCCTACACCCTCTGTTTGTTCTCGCTTAATTTTCCTCTTTTTTTTTTTTTCTTCCTCCACATTCTTGGTGGAACAGATGGATGTCCAAGTGGAGGTCACGCCTTCCCTCTGATGTGTGCTAACAACGGGCATTCTTCGAAGTCTCATGGACCGTTTTTATCTCTCTAAACACGGGGTTGCGGGGTCAAATCCCGTGAACGGAATCAGCCTTGCTCGTGGAATGTCATTCAGAATTTTTGTTTTTCAGACTCTGCTATCTATCTGACCCAAATTCTTGACCCGCCGAGTGTTTTGAATTCTTTCTGCGGAGATAAAAAGTTTGCGTATTAGTCTTTTTAGCGCCACATTTAGCTCCCTCAAAAGATTATAGTCCTTTAATAGCTTGACTTTTATAATCAGCGAGGAAACCGTCAGCTTTGAGTTGATGTTAGCCGCTAGCAGTGGTGGCTAGCTACGGTTTGGACTTGACTGACTGGTTCTGGGTGCTTTCAAAACTGCTATGAACACTGCTATTTGGCACCCTGTGTAAAAAATTCCTAAAGTTTGTCCACAGCTCCATAGGGATTGCTGGAGAAGGCGGGATTAATGACCTATACTGCAGCCCGTCACCAGAGGGTGCTGTTCACGCCGTGGAATGATAAATGATTAAGTCACTTTTTAACATGTCTATTCATTTTTTTTCTCTCCTGTCCAGACGAAGAGCTGCTGATCGAGCGCAGCATCCACAAAGGGATGATCAACCCCGGGGAGGAGAAGCAGACGGTGGAGTACAAGAGCTCGTTCGCCAAACTGGAGTACACCATCCGCGTTCGCTGCAACGAACACTACTACGGCAGCAAGTGCAACAAAGTGTGCCGGCCGCGGGACGACTACTTCGGCCATTATGTGTGCGACCAGTTTGGGAACAGAGAGTGTATGGAGGGCTGGACGGCACACGACTGCAAAGCAGGTACAGAGAAGACCGCAGTGGAACCATGTTTTCATCTGTTCATGATTAACTACTGACGGATATATATATTTATTAACATCAGGTAGGGCTGGGCGATATGGGAAAAAGTTCATCACTATATGTTTTTTTTTGTTGATATAAAATATCACGATATAAAAAATGAATTTATTGGTAGCATGTTTTTTGCAATACAATAGGCTACTGCATCTGTGAGGTCTTTGTGTCTCTTCGTTTAGATATTTAGTTGTGAGGCGTTGCGTTAGAGAAAGCGGACTGGATGTTTTGGCTGCATCTGCATTTCTGCGGGGGTAGCACTCATTTTTTTCTCACCGCCAGTGCTGTCGGCCTCACATGTTGCGTGCTATGGTTCAATCAATCAATCAACCAAATTTTATTTATATAGCGCCAATTCACAACAGTCGTCATCTCAAGACGCTTTTCAAAGAACAAGAGCAGGTCTAGACCACGCTCATTGTTTGATGATCAAGAACCAACCTAAGGTGGGTTTTGGCCCATCTCATCTAACATATGGTTGCGTGTAGTTGCAGCCTGCTACTATCCAGTTGTTTGCTACTTGGTCCTAATTCAGCACGATTGTTTCAGCGCGGTGCAGACCCGGAGCAACTCCTCTTTTCTTTGGCGAATTATATAGTGTATCAAAACATGGCAGAATTCCGGCAATCGAAAAGCATATTGACCATGTTTCATATCGATATCGAGGGGAATTAATTTTCGATATATATCATGATTGTTTTATCGCCCAGCCCTAACATCAGGTCCTGAGTGATTCATGAGCGTGTCTCTTAGATCTAGGGTACATAAGATGTTTCTATAAGATAAGAGGAGATGTCCCTTTCATAGTCCCATGAGAGAAAATTCCAAATTCACGAAATACATTCACGACATGACTCCTCGGCATGGATTGAAATGCGTCTTTTTAACCGAACATGTTGCAACGCTGTTTCTTGCATCCGATGTGCAAGCTTTGCACGAACTCTGGGCATCTCAAACAGTTCCTTCCAAGAGAGTAAATGTTAACAAAGGTGAACGGAGAACTAGATAATTACAGCTTTCTATAGAAAAATGTAAGAAAAACCCACATGCACTAAAAGCCGATCCATTAGTGTTGAGCCTGTTGAGTCACAAGTCAGGAGTTTTGTACAATCTGTTTTGCACCCGAGCGTTTGTATTTCCCGGCGTCTGTATCCCATTTCCTTTTTGCGGTGATGACTGAAAAAGTTTCTCCAAAAGTGCTAATAAAATAAGGGAAAAACAAAGCCATCAAAATCAGAACCAAACGTTTTCGAGCCCCTTTGATCGCACAGTCATTGTTTTTTTTCCAGTTTGTGCGTCCTTCTTGTCACTTACAGGAAAAGTTGTTTCGAGCTAATAGAAGTTCAAGCCAAGTGTCACCTCGCAGGAATGCCGAGAATGTTTGGAAACCTTCGTCACCTTTTAATTTTTTTCCGACAATAACTTTACAATCCATTGTTGCCGCAGCCAAGACTCTCGGGCTTCTAACAAACAAGAAAACACAGGAAATGGGATATTAATGATTCCACCATCTGCAACACGACGCGCCAGACAAGGACTTGGAAATGATTTGATGTTGTTGTTTTGAAATGCTGCTGAAATTATGATTCAGTGTCAGATTTTGGACGGACATTAACAGAAACTTTTCGCTCTCTTTCTGTCTTTCTACTTTATCCAAAAGCCATCTGCAAGCAGGGATGCAGCCTCCAGCACGGGACGTGCAGCGTGCCGGGTGAATGCAAGTGAGTCAACCTCCTTCACCTCATCTCTTCGCACTTTATTTGTCCACCTTCAGCGCCGCTTCCGGGCGGCGAGAAAATATGCTCTTGTTTGGATGGAAACGTCACGTAAGAGTTGAACTAGGATGAAAACAGTGACACAACAGAGTGATGAGGCACTGTGGGAGGGGGGAGGAGGAGGGCGAGGGGGGTGTTAGATTGTTGGATTGTTGATAACATACCAAGCATGCTAACCTCTTACACCCCCCCAGTGCTGGTCCTGTAAAGTGCCCCCCATCCCTCAGCTCCACTCTGATCCAGAAGCCATTGTTCTGCTTCCTGTTCTAAAGCTGGCCTGCTCCTGCTCCACACACACTCACCGTACACACACACACACGCACACACAGATACAGAGGTTTGTTTTTGTTGCTATATGTTTCCTCCCTCGTCCTCCTCCAGTAGCAGAAAGGCACTGTGCCCCCTGTCCCCCTCCCCTCTAAACACCCTCTTCTGTCTGCAGCCCACATCACCTCTTCCTATCCCGGGCCTTGTTATGGCTACTACTCTGTGTAGATTCCACTAAACAAGCTGCAGACAACATGCAGAGAGGGAGGCTGAGGGGTGAGGGGGTAAACCCGGCTTTAACAGATACTGGGGACGTGTTATTCAAGGTCTTCTGGATGGTTTGTGATCTTCAGTGTAGTCATCCCAAAATGCAAACTTGTAACCTTGACGAGTTATTTAAAACCTTCATCCTGATGCAGTTTGTAAAGAAGGACTGAGTTGATCAGATTAAAAACAGTCTTTCTGTCTCCACACACCAAGCGTGAGTAAAATCATTCGCGCGAATGAATTACATGTTAAGTCAGTGCAAAGACACGATTAGACACTCTTTCTACTCAATTGCAAATGACGCAAATTGGGAAATACGCTTAATTTTTTTTTTGTAGGGTGGTAAGGGAAGGTCCCGTCCTCCTTCGCCTCTAATTGGCAAGAAGTGCTGGGCTCTGATTGGTTATTCCATATGGCTGTGAAACGTCATCGTCTGCCTGGTCAGGGTTGGGCGATTCAGAAGTGAGATAATGTTCTGTTCGATGTACAGAGCAGACAGTCGTGTTTTGCTTGAGTGTGTGATGACGTTTCCAGCTTTTCTAGCCAATCAGAGGCGAAGGAGGCGGGACTTTACCCTACCATCCTATAAAAATAAAAAAAAACATTGCAATCGGGTGTGAGCTGAAAATGTCTCAACTTGAGCGGATATCCGCGTCACGATAACCAACCAATATGATACCTTTTCTTTCAATTAACGAAACCGGAATAAAAAGGAGCTTGCCTGGAGGAAAGTGAGTGAAGAGATCGGATTACCTGGTAAATTGTAAAAATCTTTGTCTATCACTTGATTCCACCAGTTGAATTGGCAGAGTTGGAATTACTGTTGACGCGTGAATGAAGCGAGTAAATACTATTCATTCACGCGTCTGCTGTAATTTCTGCTGTAAGAATGGGAATCTTTTGGCTCTAGTGGTCAATCAAGGAACTGCAGCCTTGTGCATTCCTGTCTTGGCTTCATTCATCCATCATAAAGGCTTCAGCTTGGTTCGAGCCAACTCAGCTCTCTCTGTCACTGTTTATCCATCACACATCAAATCTTCTGTGCAATATTGAATATACTTATAATTTATGCTCCTAAATGTCCCGTATTTTCCTGAAACATTTGAAATCACCACGGTGATAATCGCTCTCATCGCATCAAAGGTACGGCTCATCTTGAGGTCACACGCACACAAATTATCACTGAGGAAAAAAAAGTATAATGAGCGTATTAAGTTAATATTTCAATTTGACATGGTAGCGCATAAATAATTTCAAACAGGCAGGAACTAGAATCTAATGAAAGCAATCCAATGTTGCACAAGTAGAGTATGTAAGTGTGTTTTAGTTTCATCCTGAGGAAAAAGAGTTTGGCTCAAGAACAACCCAGCTCCAGATTCTTACCAGCAATGCTGCTGTAAACTTGTAAATATCTGTTTTGATACTCGAACAATCGCAGCTGTCAGCGCGGTCAATTGGCTCATACATAAACGGGCCGCAGGCAAGAGAGCGAAGACCCGTAATATGGCCGCACAGCGTTTCAAAAAGGCTGACTAGACAGTTGTAGTCGCAGAAGAAGAGACAGCAGACAGAGAAACTTAGATTTGATTACATGTGGAACTGAACTGTACATTTCAACACGGCGCAACACGAGAGCTTTCGCAAAAGGGAAACTGCAGACGCGTAGAAAACACACAGTAAAAAAAAAAGAGGAGGAGAGGGGAGAAAGGAGGGAAGGAGAGTTTTATACCGAGGCAGGTTTGATTTAGTAAAGATCTCATAAAAAGAGAAAATGAAGCTGACATTTCTCACTGGAAATGGCCGGAGGAATGGAAGAGAGAGGAACACCCTGGAATGTGTCTCAACATGTGATTTGGAGCTTCATTGCAATCAGGGGAACACACACACAGACACACACACACATACACACAGATATGTACAGTACACACACACCGTACAAAGACAGAGGAAGATGACGGATAACATCCATTCAGTTAGGAGGAATAAAAGAGTTTTTGTTGGTAATCTAAAGGGACGGTTCGCATAAATCAAAAGTGAAACATGAAGTCAGGAGTGTGCATGCAGAGGGGAGATGAGGCTGGGAGAGCAGCAGCAAAGACCTCTGGGGTACAGAACAGACTGAGAATATATACAAGGAGGAGCAGGGTGGAGGTGGGCTGCAGAGGAAGCGGTAAAATGAGATGAGGCTGAACAGAACAATCAAAATATCAGAGGTGAAAGAAACATTGGCCAAAACTGCAAAACCAAAAACTCCAAAATACCCTAAAAGTCCCACTCTGATTGTTTTTTCTTAACTACTTAACGTCTTATCAGTGGTCTTTAAATTGTGATTATAAAGTTTTTACCAAAAATCGCGTTACCTGCCTCATTTTCAAGAGCTTTTTCTTTTGCAGAGCTTGAGTTTGTGACCAATTTGCGTTGTGGGAGGAGACAGCACTGCTCTGCACACTCGTCTTCACGTTAGCTCTCAGCCTAACATTGCCGGTGTTGTAGAAGACGCAGGAAACATAGGAGCTATTCAGCTTTCAGACACTAATGTCTTTAGGGACGTGATGAAAGTTAATGTCATAATTAGCCTTCTTACTCACACGCTTGTTCAGCGATCGTCCTCTCTTCTTCTCCGAATCTGGCCTGCATAGCGGGGCTCTGGGGGCGGAGCTTGGAATTGTGACATAGGAAATCTCACTGTAGCTGAACCTGCCGTTTAGGTCTGCTAAAGATTCACAGCCATTTGAATAAAGAAATACTCAAAAATGCAGTTTCGCATTTAGTTTTCTCATGATACGTCCTGTAGCATCAGAAAAAAGCCATATGAACATGTAAAAAACAAGAGAAACAAGATTTTCATCGGAGTGGGTCTTTAAGCTTAAAAATGTAATCAAACTGTGAGATGGTGAAACAAAATTCAAGTGGAGAGGGTGAATAAACCGACAGAATAAGGCGGAGAAATTGAGAAAACTGACTGAGAGAGAAACTGAGAGGCAAAAGGGGGAAAAAAAGATCTCAGACTGGCACAGGAAAACTAAAAATGTGTGTTTGGTATCTTGTTTCTTACACACAGTGCATTCACAACCTACGCTCCCTCATGTGACACTACTAAACATGTAGCTAGGCAACAGCGGGCTAAGTCCGTCCAGTGGATTTGGGTGCGAGGCTTGCCTGTAAATAATTCAGCAGTCAAACTCACTCACACACACACACACAAAGTGGAAACACATACACTCTGAGCCCCCTCTACCTCTGCTCCTGCCCACCACTCCGTCCCCTGGGTGTGGTTTGTCTGAGCGGGGGCTTGTGGGCAGGCGGGGGTATTTTCAGCTCCGTCTGGCCCCTACCATTGATGGCACAGCAGCGGGCCCCGACGACGGGGCTTGTGGGTAATGCCACCCTTGGCCTGTGGCTGCCCGAAACCATTTCCCCCGCTTTCTCCCACACTGCAGCCAGACAGACTGTCCACGCTGTCACCACGGCTGCACGGCTGACAGTGTGCAGGGCACCGCCGGCAACCGCAGTGCTGGACAGCACCACAAAGTGTAGTAAACAATACACAGCAGTGTCACACACAGACTGACAGTACACACACTCACACACATTCACATAAAATGGGCTTCAGCCATCAAATAAAATCAGATTAAAGTTACTGCGGCTGGGCTCGCAGTTAAATCCGTTCCAGCTAACAAATTGTGCGTGTTTGTGCACATTTACAGACGACCAGAGCTCCGGTGTGGCTGCAGTTTTATTGTCTTTAGCTTTCATCACCAATATTTGATAAACAAACTCAACTTTTTATAGAAATTTAAAGATCTGGATCAGATTTTTAGACGCCCTGAAGCAGAGTCATTCTTGAAATTGTTCTGATTTTGCATCAGCGATACTGAACTCCCTGCAGCTTTTGTGCTGGGACAGTGTGTCTTTTCAAAGATATTGAAGGATCCTGATCACCTGACAAAATGAGCAAGCGAGGTCAAAAATGTTGATTTGCACAGCGCCTTGTTTCAAAATGCAGGATGTTGTGATTAACTGTAGCTGCAGTTTCTTCAAAAGTTGAAAAGTTATAAGATCGTTACTATTTAAATAGTGTTAAAACCCAAATCCACAAAGAGCGACACACCCTGGTACAGGTTGTTAAAAAAAAAAAAAAAAAAACTTTTTATTTTTTATTTTTATTTTTTTGCTGTAAATTTGACTTTTTAGACTGGGTGTGTATGCAGCTTTGAGGACTTTTGCAGGCAGCCTCAAGTGGACACTCAAGGAACTGCAGCTTTTAGCTTCATTAGGTCCAGTGTTAGAATATCAGTTTTTTACCCCATCAAGAGTTATGCTTAAATCTGCATAATTAGGGGCGTGGCTGAAATGACTGACGGTTAAGTGTAGAGCTGGGCGATATGGCCTCAAATCAATATCACGATATATTGATCAGTTCGCCTCGCTAACAGTAAGTGGACGATAACTACTCCACAAGCTGCTCACCCCCTCCCACATTAACTTCGTCTACTTCAGCCACTACAACTTTTGAACCGTCCTCCATCTCCTCAGCTGTCTTTCCCTCTTTGTTACGGACTGGATGGGGTGGAGTCACGTCTCTGATGTAGGACAGCGTCTTTAAGGGACATGAGACCATAGCCTACCTACACACATCCAAAACCAACTTTTATTTATTTTTTTGAAAATAATACGCCAATATGGGCAAAATGACTGCGGTTATTGTTGTAAATTTCGGTATCTGTAAATTTTCGGTTTATTGCCCAGCCCTAGTTAAGTGTGTTATAGTTTACTTTAACGCTAACGCCTCGCCTGTTTCCTTTGGCTGATGACTGAGTTTTTACTCTTAGTGTAGAGATGCAACACCTAAGTCAATACAAACACAAGATTTGCATATTTATTTGTTTTTTTGTTTTTGTTTTAAGGAATATAAACCTCTAAAAAAAACTTAATTTGCTTGAGACCCCACATTTTGTAATTCAGATTCTCTCACATGAAACATCTAAACAGCCCGGATCTCCTGCTAAAGTTCAAAGATTAAATAAATGACACACAAGTCTGATCAGACACTAAATGTCAACACTTAGTATTCGTCAGTTTGCAGTGCCGCAGCGACACATGATCCAAAAAAGTAGTCCTGAGGTTCAGCACAGAGCCCCCCCTGGTGTGAAACCATCAGTCTGTCACTGTCCTCAGCTACCCAGCATACTGTACTCCAGCACATTACAGCGCACTACTCGGAAAGTAAATCACTGCTGGTAAGAGTTTGGTCGGCATCCATTTTGAAGTGTTTGTGAGCCGCAGCGGAGGGAGGCATGGTGGTGTTAGTGGTAGAGAGGGGGGTGTGTTGCTCCCTAAAATAGCCCCCCGGCGGAGAAATGACAGGACAGGTGGGGCAAGGTTACCGCTGGCCTTGGAATAACAGAGTGCTGCCATAAACCAACAGATTAGCTAACCCTTCTCTGGCCTCCCCTTCGAGACGGCTAACCCTCGTTCCACAAACCCGACGCTCATTCCAAGAGTGACCTCGAACGGGCTGAGAGGGCCTGAGAGACGACATGCAACACATGACACGATGTTAGGAAATAAAACAGCAGAAACCGCCGCCCCGACTCAGTCTGTGATCAAATTCTTAATGTGCTGGGACTGTTACTGAAATGCAATATTGCTGAAAATCCATTTATTTGTTGAGTCATCTTAACTCAGAGATGTCTCAGTTTCCCTTTGAGGGGCATTTTTAACGTAATCAGAGACAAAAATAGCTGAAAGCAACAGGAACAAAACTGTCTGCAGACCAGCATCTTACAAAAACTAAACATTTCCATGACAGTTCAGCTTGTTTGGAGTGTTTTCTGACAGCTCAGGCCTGAATGAGTCCAGGGAAATTGTTGAAGCGTGTTAAAGCCGCCGTGAGAGACTTAAAGTTTTTCTCCACCTTGTTGTTAATCCCCGTTTTTGACACCTTCACCCTCACTGCCGATAAACCGAGAACAAATCCTGTTTTAAAAATTTCCTTTCTAATTTACTCTTGTAGGTTTTTAAGAAGCATCCCTGTCCATTTTAGTCTGTTTCATCACTATTTAACCTAGAGGAGACCTATGAAGCATATTTTCAAATTTCATCATGACATTTTAGGAAATCTATTGAGCACTTAGCCTGATTTGCAGCTCAAAACTCCTTATCTCACACGGCATCTGTGAAAACTCTCTTTTTGTCACTATCCAGCCTGATCCTCAAGCACTTTTATTTGGCTGCTTTCTTATTAATGTAAAGCTTGTGGATGCTACTTTTTACACAGCTACATGTTTGATCTCAGACTTGAGTTAATTTGCTAGCTCCTCAAAGCTCATACCGGCCTTTACTTACAAAAGAGTCATTATAAATCACTAAAACCTCTATTTTTGAGATGAGAATAAAAGCGTGACTTTCCTTTAAAACCAAAAGAACATTTATGCGAACATTTCCAGGACAGACTGAATTAATAAAAAACACAGCAGAGAAAAAAGCTGAGCGGTAAAACAGATATTAGAGACAAGAAAACAATGTGACCGAGCTTCCAGGTGGGCTCGTCCTTGACCGAACTGACAGGTGAGCATGTAAAGTTTGGGTCAAGTCTGAATTAAGATCAGTATAATTGGTCTCCGTAAATCAAAAGTATCATCACTGACACTCCTTTAATACGAAGATGGCGATAGCGCATTTTGTCCAGAGTAACTTATAGCAGAACTTGACAAAAGACACACACACACACACACACACACACACACACACACACACACACACACAGAAACAAACACACACTCATCGGTCAGGAATGTCCCCGCTGCACTGTGTGTCCTCACATTCGGAGCAAGCATGTCATTCACCTTGATGACTCAATCATCCCTCTCTTCTCTTTTTTCACCCATTTTCTCCTTTTTTTTAAACCTGCATTAACATAGAAAAATTATCCCCCTTTTTTAATCCACCTGAGGCGTTCTTCGTCTTCGTCTTCACCAGGGGATGTTACACTGGCACGCCGCCTGACGTCAAGTACCCCTCTGTTTTCACACGTCGTAAACCTATTAAATCACTTGTTTGTTATCACTACGTAACTTTCACTGTTTTCCATGGAGAACTCCCTCCCTCTGTGTTATTAAGTAAGTGCATCTGTGTGCCTGATCATCCCTCAGGCTGGAGCTGTAAATAAAGAGCAGATTCACCCGTGCTTGTAAAATAAGAGGCATTTGTTTTACCATAAAGTCTCGTCAGCCGCTGATGGAACTCTGTGTGCTGATTTTTGATCCTCACCGCTGGCACAGATATAAAGATAGATATTTTACACTGAAAGAAGCAATAAAAATAGTAGAAATCACTTCCATTAAAGGTCATAAAGCGTGCATTAGTGAAAGAAAGTTTGGGGTTTGAGATCCTCGTGGAAAAAAAGCAAGAAATAAAAGTGAAAATGATCGCAAATTGAAACCAAACGGAGAAGAAATTGGAGGAATATTTGGCCGAAGATGTGAGTGAAAGTGACGGTCCTCTCTGCTGTGTGTTTCAGGTGTAAGTACGGCTGGCAGGGTCCGCTCTGTGACGAGTGTCTGCCGTATCCTGGCTGCGTTCACGGTACCTGCAGCGAGCCCTGGCAGTGCACCTGTGAGAAGAACTGGGGAGGCCTGCTTTGCGATAAAGGTCAGTTTCAGTTTTTCGATTTCTAGTGGCGCTAATTCATCAAAGTGTCGAAGATTTTGCAGTATGATTTGCAGAGCAGATGAATATTATTGAGTATGTCGATGCTCTCTGCATTCCTCTTGCAACTAGGGGTGTGTGATAAAATACTAGATCTTGAAAAGTTGCACATTTTGTTGCGCTTTTGGATTACACACAAGCAGCGCTCTGCAAAGGTGGTAAATGCAAAGACAGCGTCCCTCTTACTTGTTTATAACTTCAATCAAATGCAAGTTTTGAATTTTTTTTGATAAAGATTAAAATTTAAAACTATTTTTCTATCAATTGACTGACTCCTGTCTTTGAAAAGTTATGCTGCGATTAAGTTACCTCAGGAGTCAGATGTCGAAGCTGAAAATGGCGTCACACCTGAGTTACCATCGATTCAGTTGCCAAGTTGAAAAAAAGCAAAATCAGAGGTTGAAACATTATGGCTACATCTATGAAAGTTATTTTAGCGCTTGCCTTGTCTTTGTTATATTCGGACAAGGCAAGCGCTAAAATAACTTTCGTAACCATCTTGTTTCCGACTCTGATTTTGCTTTTTCAAACTGGTAACTTGGATGTGACGTCATTTTCAGCTTTGACATCTGACTTCAGAGGTAACTCGAACGCAGCATTAAACCGACTTATACCGTTTTTGAGATATCATTCTAACACCATGCAAAGACATTGCTTTAACTCTTCGTACAAAGTTAAACCCATGCAGTATAAACAGTGACACACTGAGTGACGCCTCAGAAACAAAGTGATGTTTTTTTTTTGCGAGATCGCCCACCCCTACTTGCAACATTTAACTCTCCAGAGGAAACCATGTGACTGTTCAGGATGCCGGAAACTAAAGCCTGAATTGAACTTTTCTGCAAACATGTCATTACGCTGTGCAGCTTGTAACCTACAATCAGAGCTTCTGTGAGGAAAAGAGAATGACATGGAGCCTGTTAGAGAGAGGTTACTTTGTGCAGCTGAAAGAGTTTCATGTAAATACTCATAATAGGTGACAGAGATTTCTTACTTTGCAGATTTGAACTACTGCGGTACAAACAAGCCCTGCAAGAATGGAGGAACGTGCATGAACCCTGAGCCCGACGAGTACAACTGCGTCTGTCCAGATGGATACTCTGGCAAGAACTGTGAGATTGGTAAGGCTCTAAATCAAAAAACGTCGTAAAGCAGGTTTAAAAAGTGGGTTTTTGTGCCAGGTCACATTCTGGGCAGAGCTCAGAGAAATGAGATAGCATCTCTGGACTGATCAAATTTATGATTATTCTACTTTTATCTTTATTTTCCTCCGTAGCCGAGCACGCCTGTGTGTCCAACCCATGTGCTAATGGAGGGACTTGCCATGAGGTGCCGTCAGGGTTTGAGTGTCACTGTCCTGCTGGCTGGACTGGGGCGACCTGTGCTCAAGGTGACGACTCACTCCTCTACAGTCCAGTTACTCACCGTCATAAATATATGTTTCCTTGCAACGAAAGCTTCAATATGAGTCTCTCTGATGTTTCAGACATAGACGACTGCGCATCAAACCCCTGCGCTCAGGGCGGGACCTGCCAGGACTTGGTGAACGGTTTTGAATGCCACTGCCCTCCTCAGTGGACGGGCAAGACCTGCAAGATAGGTGAGAGTCGCTAAGACACTTTTGGAGCAAAACTTTAAGGTTTTTGTTTTGAGATTCTGCTGCATGTTGGATCAGATGTTGCAGTGAAAAAGCGGGTGTGTTTGTGTGTATTTCACCTGCAGCATATGCTACGTTTACAACTCCGTTCCAGGGATCTCATCTGCTTGCCGAGTTACAGTTGCATACCTGTCTGTTTGTTTATCCCGACGCGTCATTTAACCAGTAGTATTTCTGCAGATGGGCCACTAATTTCTACTCAGTGTGTGTGTGTATGTGTGTGTGTTTGTAAGTGCACGCCCAACAGAGACACTCGTTCGGTATCATCTGCAACTCAAGCCAGGTGACTTGAGTAAAGCTAAAAATAACCTCCCGCCTGGCAACTGCTAGCCTTGGGACCAAATATACTCTGCTTGGGGGGTTATCTTTGGCTCCAGACTGGGCGTAACCGGGGAGTATGTACGCTACGTTGAGGCGGTACCCCGGCATAGCGGAGCCCTCACCACCTTCTGCTACAGCCAGGAAACACTTTATAACCTGTAAACACGCACAGGGAGCGACCGAAACGCTCCGGTTTGTGTTACAGATTCTCAGAGCGCTTTCTTCCCCCACCCCCCCTTTCATGGCGAAGTGGTACCTGTGAGAGAGCGAGATGAGGGGGGTGGGGCGGTGGTCGTCGGGGAAGGTTGGGTTTTTGGGAAGGGGCTGGGGGTGTTCGGTTTCAGCAGGCCAACAGGTGCCACCTACCTCCTGGGAGTAGTACTAATGCACTGTGGCGGTTTATAGTGAGCCAGGCGGCACGGCAGGGGCGGCGAGAGCTGCCTCTGAAACTGACCACTTGGAATGCTGCAGGTTGGACTGTAGGGAATGCAACAGGGAGACGTTAACCGGGTGGGAGGGGGGTGGGGATAAAGGGGTTTGGGTGATGGAAACCCGTGCAAGATATGAAACCCTGTCTGATATGGACTTCAATGTTCTGGAGGTTTTGGACATTTAAAGGAGACCCTGATTGGTTTACCCATAAAATTCACTCGTGGCGAATGTAAGAAAATCCGACGACTTCAGATTTTCCATGTAATCCGTTCCTGGTTTATTTATGATTCTTAATTTACAGAGAAATTAATTTTTGAAACAGCCGTTTACATTTCTAACGGGGTCGTTTTTGTTTCTTTCTGATGGAAAAACTGAGTAACGCCTTTAACTTTGTAAGCCGTCTGACGACTCTACGCTTGGTGACGGGGCTCCTCAGCAGGCTCTCAGCTCTCTCATTCATTCTCTCTGTCTGGTCTCCATTTTGCAGACGTTAATGAGTGCGAGGGGAAGCCTTGCCTCAATGCTTTCTCTTGCAAAAACATGATTGGTGGATATCATTGTGGCTGCTTTCCTGGATGGGTGGGCCAGAACTGTGAAATAAGTTAGTATCATCCCAGCGAACCCCACCTGCTCTTAGATCTACTGTAGTCCTCTTTGCTGTCTAGCTTCTGTTCTCCTCTCACCTCTGCAAGTCTGCAATCCTCTACTCCTATTTAAGAAGCAGAATGTCAATCCAGATGATTATTTTAACATTCAATCATTTTAACTGAGAAAAATTTAAACTATTGTACGCACTGAACAGTAGGGATGGGCGATATGGGCAAAAAAAAAACGATAACAGTAAAAGTCACGATAAAAAATACTATTATTACAATCTATATTTTTTATTCTCAACAATATTTTTATTAATTTTAAAGAGATTAATACAGTACAGCTCTTGAAAGAGCACAAGATATAAAGGAAACACATCACAAACACCCCCTTATCCTTCAAACCACGTCTACTGCTGGATATTCCTGTTACTGTGCTTAAATAACAAATTCTGGAACTAGAACAAAAAAATAACAAATAAATTAAAAAAGTATGTGCTGGAATTCGGGTTTTGTAGACCTTGAAATATATAAGACATTGAAAAACAAAAAGTAAGAAGAACTTCTGTAGGTTAGAGAAATACGTTTGTAGATAAGTCGCTTAAAAGAGTTTTAAAAAGAGATAATTGAAATTGTTTGATTGTAAAATATCACAGATATATTTTTCAAAAAGAAATCAACTAGAAGAGGAGAGTGTTTATTCAAAATGTTGAGAGTTTCTGAATGTGATCTAGAAAAGGTCCCCAAATCTTTGAATTTTCTGTCATTACCTGCAACCGAGTAAAAAATCTTCTCAAGGTCTAAACAAGACGTGAGGTCTTTCAGCCAACCATCGATATTTTTGACTCATTCTGTCTTGCGAACACCATTTGGAGTCGTCAAATAAGATAATTAGCCACAAGTTTGAGTGGTAGGTTATGGAGAAAACTAATGACATCAACAAGTCTCTAATGTGAAAACATTTGTTGGAATCAGATCCACTGTCCGATGTCAGGCAGACCTGATTGCGATCGTCTAAACTCCAATCTTGAAGAAAGTCCCTCATGTGGATCCTCCTTCAGTAACGATCTGCTCAGAAACGTCTTCTTCATTACTTTTGGCCATGTTTGTTTGTTATTCTGCTCAGTGTGGGCTATGGCGTCATCAACTTACATTTATCGTACTTATCTTGAGATGGCAAATATTTATCATGGAGGATTTTTCCGGTGATATTTCATGAACGCTAATTTATCGCCCATCCCTACTGAATAGCTAACAGCCCAATCATTGTTTTACTACAGCTCCCATGATGCTTTGATCCATGCTAAGAGCTTCCTTTACAACAGTTAACTCCTGTCGAGTCAAAAAAAAAACAAAAGTTATGTTTACAAGACGGTTTATCCATAAAGGCCAGAAAGGCTAAAAAAAAAAACGTTTTTGTACCTGACAAGTTTCGGTTACTTTGCCTCTGCAGCCTTCATCAGAGGTGTCACGTAATGTTGGTGTCACTTCGTCTGTGATGAGAAATATGAGTTAATTTTTTAACCTTTCGACAGGCTGAATGAACCTTTTTAGTATCAAAGCGATGTTTCTCTGAACCAGAAACCCTTCGATCAAATCTATCAAACGTCCTCGTAGAACAGAGGTTAGCGAGCAGAGAGGTTCGATTTTCTCCAACACTTCTCTCTCCTCCTGCCGCTGAAGCTCCCACACCCTGGCCTAACTCTTCCGAGCTACAAACACTGACTTCACCCCGACTCTTGTTTATCTTTTCTCGTTTATCCGGAGGGCTAGATCCGACTTCTGCAGTTTGGTGTCATTGCATGTTCTAACTGCACCCCTGAACCTGAATCTGACTTTTCGTCTAACACGGATCACTTTGCTTTGGATGTATCCACCATTCTCCTGTAACCGTTGCATGTTCCGGCACCGACGCATGGTCCAATCCTCCAAATTGTCAAACTCGAATCTTACTCTTCTCTGTTTGCCTCCTCTCCAGATATAAACAGCTGCCACGGTCAGTGTCAGAACGGAGGGACCTGTAAGGTGAGATTATGAAATGATGAATGAGTGGTTTGGAAAAAAAAGAAAACACTGAGGTCTTTGTTGAGTTCATGTCTTTTTTATAACATGACTTAATCATAAGGATGGAAGAAAGTTACTGCTGATCATCAAAGTACCTGTCAGAACATAAAAGAACAAGCTTAAGGGTATTATGGTTGTGAAACATCACCAGCATGTTCCACCCAACAGCTCTTATCCTCTCCTTCTATCAATAGATGGGTACGCAATAAAATAAAGACTATTTTTACAAGTGTTCTAACTTCTTCCTGTGTTTCAGGATATGGCCAGAGGCGGCAGCTATCAGTGTGTTTGCCAGACGGGCTTCGTCGGTCGGCACTGCGAGGTTCAGAGAAACCGCTGTGCAAGCAGTCCGTGCAGGAACGGTGGCCGCTGCCACGCCCTGCTGGACGGGTTCATGTGCGAATGCCCGCAAGGCTTCGCCGGCACGACCTGTGAGGTGAGGAGAGGAGGGTCGCATCCAGCTTTTCAAATATACTCAGAGCTTTCATCTGTATGGAGACCTCGACCTCACTGTTTCACCTCCACAGGTGCAGAATGATCCGTGCAGCCCGAACCCTTGTCACAATAAGGCTCAGTGCCACAGCCTGATGGGAGATTTCTACTGCAGTTGCCCTGACGATTACGAAGGCAAAACCTGCTCGGAGCTCAAAGACCACTGCAAGACCAACAGATGCCAAGGTAACACGTAACCTAATGTAGGGCTGGGCGGTACAACCTCAAATCAATATCACAATATATTTAGCAGTTCACCTGGACGACAACTACTCCACAAGCTGCTCACCCTCTCCCACATTAACTTCATCTACTTCAGCCGCTACAACTTTTGAACCGTCCTCCATCTCCCCACCTGTCTTTCCCTCTTAAAGGGACATGAGACCAAAGCCTACCTACACAAATCCAAAAACAACTTTTATTTATTTATTTTTTTGACACTGAATATATTGACTACGACGGAGTATTAGGGCCACATTAAGAAAAAAAAATTTAAGACTTCATAATTACTTACAAGAATCAAGTCATAATAAAATCATTATGAAAATAAAGTCGTAGCTAACAGCTATTCTAACCTGTTGTTAGTGGTTTAAATGAGCGCTGTGGAGCATTTAGATGAACTGAACTTCAGTAGCTAGGTTTCACAAACAAGGAGATTCTAAATTCTTTGGTGTTTCAGCATCACATTTTAATAAGTACCAGGACATATGCAAGAAATGTGTCTTTTCCGCAGAAAGATCCAGGCGGACCTGTAGGGAATCGCAGTTTTTGAGGAGGGGGAAATGTCTGTGCAGAGGCGAAATCCCACAATGCAGCTGTTTATAGTAATAGCATGTAGCTTTAGTTTATCATATGAATCTATACGCCATAAGGTGTTGGTGCCTCTGCAGGTGTAGGTTGCTGCTGGTGTTGTGCCGGCATCAGAGATAGAGGCGGTGCTCGTCTCGACTCTCTCTGAATCACAAATGTTGATCACTAGTTGGATTATTTTTTTGAGAAAACACAAAAGTTCTCTGATGCACCCACTGATAACTCTGCAGTTGACCAGTTCAGACATTTCCTCCTCCACAAAAGCAGCTTTAAGACTTCATTTACTTGATGAGTTAATTCTCGTCAGTAATGATTTAATTATGACTTCATTCTCGTAAGTAATGAAATTAATCTCAAAATCTAATTTTTTTCTTCTTAATGTGGCCCTAATACTCCGTCGTTATTGACATGGTCAAAATGATGTTGGCTATTGTCGTAAATTTCAGTACCTGTAAATTTTCGGTTTATCGCCCAGCCCTAACATTATGTATTTTACGGTGACAAACATCCACATATCCCTTCTGTTCTTCACTCGCTCTCTCTTTTTCTTCACCCTAAGTGATTGACAGCTGCACAGTCGCCGTTGCAACCAATGACACCCAAAAGCGGGTGTGGCACATCTCCTCAAACGTATGCGGCCCCCACGGTCGTTGCATCAGCCTCCCTGCTGGGAACTTCAGCTGCTCCTGCGAGCCGGGATTCACTGGCACCTACTGCCACGAGAGTGAGTTGTTATTAGCTCTACACACAACACACAGACTATATTTATCATCAGTTACCCTCGCTGCAAAGCGCATGATTCTTACGGTAATGCAGACTCGAGTTTCACTAATCATCACTCTCTTAGTTTAGTCTGAGCACAAGGGGAAAACTTAAAAAGGAAATCCTGTGGGAAGGCATGTGGAGGAAAATGCAAACAGAGAGCTTGTTGTCTGCAGGAGAATTCTTTCAAGTCTAATTGGACTGCAAGTTTTGGTTTTGAGCACCAGGGTCCATTTAAGATTAGTCATGATAACCAAACAAGGCTTGTAATAGTTCTTAAATCTCTGAAAAATGAATATGGTTAAAAAAAGTAATAAAAAAGTCTAACTTGAGTATTTTTCTCCTCTTTGCCTGCAGATATAAACGATTGTGCGTCATCACCCTGTAAGAACGGAGGCACATGCATAGATGGTATCAACTCCTTCCAGTGTTTCTGCCCAGGCGGCTGGGAGGGCAGTCTGTGTGACGATGGTGAGTACATGTAACGAGCAAGTCGGCATTTAGGGGAAAACATGAGCAACCGCAGAGGTATACACGAGTTTAGGCAAGAGGCGTGAAAAGTCATCCGGCATGTGAGTCACGCCTGGTCTTTTGGAGAATCCGTGAGAGGCCGGCGATGATCATCAGTCTAAGAATCTAAGAGAAGACAAAACAAAGAGGGGGTTTGTGTCCGAGAGGGAAGGAAGCAGGAAAACGCTGCAGATGAAACAGCTGACTGATTTGAGTCAGTTTGGTTCCTGCTGCAGCTGCTTGAATTGGTCGGTGTGCACATTCGCAGATGATACTGTCACTTATATTGCATTACATCAGATCTTGTACAGGGATGTTTTAAGGTCGGCTGAGTTTCTATTTGTTGAAATTGAAAAAATAATTCAGAGGATAATTTCTGTGCTTCTTGGAATTTAAAGAACCTCGCTCCAAATGTCTGATTTGAGTCAGTTTGGTTCCTCCTGCAGCTGCTTAATCTGGTCGGTGTGCACATTCGCAGATGATACTTTTACTTATATTACATTACATTTGATCTCTGTTCCAAGGAGACTGAGTTTCCATTTGTTGAAACTAAAACAAAAATTTAGGGGATTATTTTCATGCTTCTTGACATTTTAAGAACCCGTCTCCAAATGTCTGATTTGAGTCAGTTTGGTTCCTCCTGCAGCTGCTTGAATTGGTCGGTGTGCACATTCGCAGATGATACTGTCACTTATATTACATTACATTAAATCTTGAACAGGAATGATTTTCTATGTGTCGAAATTAAAACAAAAATTCGAATGATTATTTTTGTGCTTCTTAAAATTTCAAGAACCTCACTCCGACTGTCTGATTTGAGTCACTTTGGTTTCTGCAGCTGCTTAATCTGGTCGGTGTGCACATTCGCAGACGACACTGTCACTTACATCACATAACATTAAATCTCTGTTCCAAGTTGACTGAGTTTCTATTTGTTGAAATTGAAACAAAAATTCAGAGGATTAATTTCTCGCTCGCCTGAAATTCAAAGAACCCGTCTCCAAATGTCTGATTTGAAGTTGAACAAATAATCAGTCGCTGAAGACGCTGCGCTGACTAATGGTTTTGATTCTGTTCCAGATGTGAATGAGTGCAACAGAAACCCCTGTCAGAACGGAGGCCAATGTGTCGATCTGTTTAACGACTTCTACTGCAACTGTGTCGACAACTGGAAAGGAAAGACCTGCCACTCACGTAAGAAAATCTCTCTGTGAGGTGGAGTTTGTTCAGACTTTCATGACCTAAAGCTGAGCGGAAAAATAATAGTTATGTAGGATTTGGCGTTTCCAAGGTCTAAATGGTGATTTCAGCCACCTGCTTTGATTTTGGACTAATCTGAAAAGGTTTTGATTGTAATGATGGACCAAAAAAAATCACGTCAAGCTTGTAAAACTCTCATGAATGGTGTCTTTGTCTTCAGTTTCCATGTTCTCCAACATGTCAGGTCTTATATTCTTTAACAGCCTCAGCCTCTTAATCTTACTGAAGCATGGTGCCCTCGCCGGCTGCTGTGCTGGCTTGTTTTACTCTCTGACGGCTCTTCTGAACTCAGCTTTGCAGCTCAAGTACAACACTGGCACCGAGTCAACTGTTTGAAACCCCGTTTCCCATGCTTCCTCCGCGCAGGTGAGAGCCAGTGCGACTCCTCGACCTGCAGTAATGGAGGGACGTGTTACGACCACGGAGATGCTTTCCTATGTAGCTGCCCCTCAGGCTGGGGTGGCAGCACCTGCAACACAGGTCAGTCCCTCGCTGCACTCTAATTACATAGTTACGGCTCTGCTAATGATAGTGTGGTAAACAATGTGACATTACATTTTTACGGCCTGTCAGACCTGTGACCACAAGCCAGAGCGAACGTCTACCAGTGTGGGCCAGTCAGGATAAGACCTTTTATTTTCTGTTACAGCCAAGAACAGCACATGTGACCTGGGCCCATGCGAGAACAGCGGGACATGCGTCGGGGGAGGAGACGGCTTTACCTGCATCTGCAAGGACGGCTGGGAGGGACCCACCTGTGCACAGAGTACGTCACACGTTTATTTCACAAGAGTTGAATGATGAAGACGTCAAAGAAAAGCAGCTATTTACAATTTGAGTGTTTATGTAACAGGACAAGTCAAGACAGTAGTAACATTGAGAAACCTCGGAGCTGTATTTCCATTAAGTGGGGTTTAATCACTGCAAACAGCTCAGCATTCTTTACGTCAAGTCGGATGTATCGTGATCTCGGTAGCTGGAAGACTCCAGAGCTAAGAGGACAAGATGAGTCGAGACTGCTTTGTCCACAGGGGGCGCCAAAAGTTCCTCACAGGAGCTTTAACTCTAGAACAGTATCGCTAAAATTAGTAACACCGTCACTATCCCCGGTTTTTACCCAAGAAAAAGAACTTGTCTGCAAAATATGTCAAAATAGACAATGCATGACAAATTAAAGTAGTTTTCTTTTATTTTTAACCAAAAGGGAGGAAAAAAATTGCCATGAAGGGGCCGTATAAAAATGCAATAAAATAACTAAAATTAGGCATTCATGAAAAAAAAATTCCCAAAATATGTGAGTCTTCGCTGGTGAAGACTCAGGGTCCTTGGCAAAATAACAGCTGCAGGAAAGAAAACCAAAATATGGCAGATTTTAAGAGAGTAAAAATGACCAGCTGACTAAAATATTTCTTATTTTTATATGAATTCCCTTGAAAATCACTACTTTGTGATAGTTATTCAAAACCGCTGCGCTAAATAAAGATAACATGCAAATTCCAGGACCACTCTTACTGACCTTATTCGCCTACATGCAGCTATCAAATCCATCCAAACCTACTTTACCCTCTATCACTATTGCTGGGTGAAAATCACTGGAACATGTTAGAAAAAGCAGGTTTTGGATCAGGGAAACAAATCTGCCTTCAAAGATGTCAAACGCAATGCTGAAGCTACCCAGAGTGCCAAGATACTCAGACAAACACAACATAATGAAAATCACGTAAACATGTTTGGTCGGGTGAAAATCACCCGGTGATAGTGTTCATAGTGTTCTAGGGTTAAATAACTTACCTTTAACCTAATATCGCTCATTTATGATGTATTTGGAGAGTGGCGCTAGGTAGTGATCCTACAGTATCTCTCCTCTAGTAGGATCCTCAACACGTGGTCCTCTAAAAAGACCTTGTGGGGTTCTGGTTTGACTGAAAAGACTCTTCGATAAAAGAAAACGCTGTACTATGATACAGTGGTGGTGTGAGTCTTGGTAAATTGTCCCAACTATGAACTAGAAACTACAGTAAGAGTATCTCACAGAGTGGGAAACCCTACATCTCAATAGTAGATGGTGAAAAAGAAAGAGCTTCACAGCTGCACAAAAACTGCACATTGCAGATTTAGGAAGTCCTTTTCACAGAGACAGTTTGGATCTTTTTCCCCAGACTCAATCTATCAAACCCAAGCCATTTGTACTCTGGTTTTACATATTTGTCTAACACTGCGACTGTACAAAGTTAAATTGTTCCTGCCAACGGCCTGGTTTGAGTTTCAGACTGAAATCTAAAATATTCTGACGATTATTTGATCTCTCTTTTTTCAGATGTCGATGACTGCAACCCTCATCCTTGGTAAGACAGACTTCTGTTCTTATTTACTGACAGGTTTGAGAAGCATTGTTATGTTTTCAGCTTTTACAGCCACTCTCGACTGTTCGAGCGTCTCGTGTTCATCATGAATCAGACTAAAACTTTTTGAAGTTGGTAAATTGTTGCACTCTGGCAAAGTCTGAGCGATCCAAATACTCTCCACATGCCATAAAAGACAGCTTTTTTGGGCTTCACCATGCAAACATGTGTATCCAGCTCCTTTTTATTTATTGGTTGTGTGTTGAAGCCGTCAGTGAAGAATCTCCTCAGCTTTAACCACTTTTCTCTGCATTTTCACAAAGTTCATTGTCTGTTTTTAGGGTTTTAAAAGTGGCTTTTTGCTCCGTTATGTAACAATTCGAGTTAAACGTGACCTCTCTTGAGCTCAGGAATCAATTCAGCCCAACTTCAGCCTTAAATTTGGCGTCAGCTTTGATCCTCACCTTCGCTTTTATTGATCTGGAAACATTAGCCGAGTTTACATTTGCATATTTCCTGAGTCACTCTGGATCCGCTCCAGCGACTCGAGGTGCATTGTTTTCGATTTCGAGCGTTCGAGCAGCTACAGGCTTTCCCAGCAACTCCCACACTCTGCTCTCATCCTGCAAATCAGATTTTCTGCCTCGGATTTTCCCGTAAAAGACTGTGGGCGTGCGAGCACGAGTGCAGGTGTGTGCACCTCGGTTTGTCTGTGTGTGGGATGGCACTTTGGTTTTTTGGTGGTTGTAGTCTGAAAATGTGACTGTATGGGTGTTTTCTGCGGTTGGATCTGTGTGTTTTTGCTAAATTTCGCTTCTTAAATGTTGGAATTTGAAGGTTTTTCTTTAATTTTAGAGTTGGGCATCGAAGCTCTTTGGATTTTTGGCCTGATCGAGAGTTTTTAAGGAGACATTTTATTCTAGGAAATGTTTTAAAAATACCTCAGTTGGATCCTGACATCTTCCCTGGATCACAGACGCTACCCTGAACAAAAGAGTCCCCCGTCCTCCCCCCTCTTCTCACCCTCCTCTACAATGACTGACAGGTGGATTAGTGGTGGTTTTGGTTTTTAGGAGAGGGGGGGAAGAGGAGTGTGAAGAGACGCCCCTCTCACCATTCACCGGCCTCGACCTGGGGGTAGCTGTGAGAAGTGGAGGTATCTGAGGGGGGGAGCGGCGGCTCAGTATGTGGTCAGCAGGGATTTACATATGAAGTCTGGACATTGATCTGGGATCAGCTTCGGCCCTGCTGACACTCAGAAAAACTCTCGGAGGAAAGTCTCAGAGTTTGTTTGTGGCTTTGAGGGCAGAACGTGAGACCGTCACCGGAGAGTCTGACCTCAGGTGGTTAATGCGGCCTCACAGCTGTGTGTGAAGTTAAGTAGAGGGCTGGAGCGAGCTCTCGTTTGTCGCTCGGATGCCATAAAACCTGACAGTCCGGTTCATTCTCGTATCTGCATTTTAAGTCATTTCCTTAATCTCAAATGAAAAGTGTCATTGGCAACCACCTCATGTTCCCACACTTTATTGCATATCAATCACCGGGAGGGAAGTAGGTCGCTGTTTTATCAGCCGATGGGCAAATAATTTGGCAGAAGCTGATATTTGAGTTCTGTGTTGCATAAACGACAAGTTAGTGACACCCGCTTTTGAGCTAACGTCAAGGTTGTTGATTTCTTACACAAAATATAAACATACAGTACTCAGAATAAATGATTACACCCCTTCAGAGCTGTCAGAAAGCCTTTAGTTTCCTTTCAAAAATCAACATTTTCTATGTCAGACGTACAACAAAAATACTCCCCATAATGTAGTCCACTGATTGCAAACAAGATTTTTGGTAACTCTATACAATAACTAAAATTTATAAATGGTAAATAGATAGTTTATTAATGTTTAATCATCATTTAAAAACAGCATATAGACCAATTATAAACGGCAAATAGATATTTTTTAATGTAAGTTAATAGTAACTTTTTATTGGACTATTTTATTTTGGACTTATTTTATGGACTGTTTATTAAAGGTTTATTTAGGGTTTAAATATTGGTTATAAAACATCTAGATTAAAATGTGTGTCAGTAGCACTTTGTAAATGGTTAATAAGTGGTTTATAAACCATCTATAAACATTACTTAGATGGTTATTGTGAATTTAGGGTTAGGTTTTTATTTATAAATGATGATTGAACATTAAAAAACTATCTGTTTACCATTTATAAGTGGTCTATTTATCATTTATAAATTATGGTTATTGTAAAGTGTTACCAGATTTTTTAAGTTGAGTACAAAAAAGTTTATATTTTTTTCCAATTTAATTTTAGGATGCAAAAATGAGTACACTCCAATCAAAGTTCTGGGAGCAAAGCTAAGTTTTAGTCTCCATATCGCCCTTATTTCCATTTTACGGTAAATGAAATGTGATGTTAAACTTTGAAAATTGTACTTTTGCTCATCTAGATATTGAGTCATACTTTACTTTAAATATGGGGTGTACTGACTTATGCTGGCTGAAGTAGCCGTCCTATCAATGACAGTGTTTCCCAAATATTTTGACATGATTTATTTCGAAGACATGAAGAATTCATGTTTTCACTCGGAGTCAAGGAAACACGATGCAGTTCACCTGGAGGTCTTCTATATGTGTAGAGATGTACATGTTTCCTAAAGCCCGCCTGCGTGGAAAAAAGACAGATTCTCCCTCAGGAAAGAAATGTGAAGAAAGATATAAAGGAGTTCTTGTTTTCAGCCTCCCTGTCGGCTCTGCTCCGCAAGTAAATTCATGTTTTTCTGCCTCTCTCTCGTTTTTTGCAGCTACAACGGCGGCCTCTGCGTCGACGGCGTGAACTGGTTTCGCTGCGAATGCGCCCCAGGATTCGCCGGTCCGGACTGCCGCATCAGTAAGTCCCTGGGAACCGGAGGGAGGCGTGTGGAGGGGTCAGGTGGGTGGGGGGTCAGGGGTGAAAGGCCGCGGCGGGGGAGCGTGAGCCGATTGTTTCAGGGCGACAGATTAGGAAGCCTTTTAGGAAGACGGTCTTAACCTCTCCCCTCAGAGCTGAGCCGAGGTCAGGGCTGAGGTGCGTCAGACGGGTCAGCGGCTCTCCCGCAGCCCCTCTGGGAGAAATCTCCTCAGAAAGGCCTTTTCAGGACGGGAGTGTTATCCAATTGAAGCGTTTCGAACTGAACCGCCGAAATCTTATTGTGTGGAGATCGATTCTCGGAGTTCCATCACTCATTGAAAGTGTTTGAATATAACTCCCAAATCTTCTCAAAGCTGAGTTTTTCTCTCGGCTTAAGATAAGCTTCAGAAAGACGAACACTTAGAGGAGATACAAAGACTGAAAGTAAGACCTGTGTGAAATGTTTAGATTGGGATTAAATCCGTCTCTGTCCCTTTTTTCATATCTCCTAATACCATGCCCAGAAAGTTTTAAAGTTGGTTACATGTTTTCGTGTTTTTTTAAACTGTTGCTGTTGCTTTTTGACAGACATAGACGAGTGTCAGTCATCTCCGTGTGCTGAGGGTTCGACCTGCATGGATGAGATCAACGGATACCGCTGTGTTTGTCCTCCAGGATACGCAGGAGCTCGATGCCACGAGTGTGAGTACAAAAAACTGTCAATTTTAACACTGCTTTAAAGATTACAATGTGCCTCTGTTACTTTAATGTAGCACCTGGACTCTTCTACTACAGAGCCATGCTGTTGTAAAATGTGCAGAATCTTGTTTGTTGTTATCCTGCTGAAATTTGCAAGGTCATGTGCAGATGCAGTGACAAACTGCTCACAGACAGTCATATTTGGGGATGATTTTAAGTCTATGCGGTGACTTCCACTTTAGAGTCATGTCTGTTTTTAATGCAGTGCCCATCCAGTGTCAGTTATTGGTCTTGTCCCTCTTGCACAGAGATCAGTCCAGAGATTTTTTTAAACATATAAGAATTAGGACTGTAATCAATCAAAAAATTCTTGATTGATTAAAACCCTGAAATTTTTGCCCAAAAATCGACTAATCTGGGGTGGGGGGTTTTCTGACTCTGACGGCAAAATGCTTCTGCAGCGGGGTATGACGTAGCTTGACTGGGCTCGGTGGGGTGAAAATATACTAATATCAGCACAACAACAATTAAACACAAAGGGCAGGTTGAAACACCTAAAATAAAATAAATATTCAGCAAACCACCGGACATTGATTAACGTAGACGCTCTTTAATCGTCTCGTCTCCAGCTGGTCTCCAGTGGGTTGGGCGAATCCAACATGGGAAAAACAAAGGGGGTTGTTCTGAAAACACCCCCATTAGCATTTGGTACGTTCCTCCTGATGAAATTAACCATAGACTGTAAATTGACGTGGAAAAAAAAATCGAGTCGACCAATCAGAATTTTAGTCAACTCAGCACATATTGACTAACTTGGATTTCCCTTCAGGGATCAATGAAGTTATTCTTAATAAGTAGATCAGTCGACTAAGACTTTACGGCCCTAATAAGAATACATCAGACTAATTTATATATGCATATAGAATGAGGTTTAACAGTAAAAAGGCAGTGGTTAATCTTAATTACTTTAATAAGCCAGCTGTTCAGCCGTTTGTGTTTTCTGTACGTCTCTAACTGAACGTCTTTAAGTTGTTCTCCAGGATGTTTTTTTTCTGTTTCTGTGAGTCATGAGTTATAAGAGTCACATCTGCGATGTAAATACAACATAAACAGATGCCGGCTAGTTTGAGGATATTTCAGGCGTTAGAGGTGATGATGTTAACAGAAAGACAGAAGTCAAGGGGGCCAATAAAAACTCTTAAAATAAAAAGTCAAAGTAAGTTCGGTGGTCATTAAGGCTGAGAAAATGGAAATGCAGACACTTCAACACTTCATTTTGGTCACCACCTCTCTTTCATCCTCTTCAGTTATCGGTCTCGGAAAATCGTGCCGTCATGCCGGTTTGCAGTTTCCTCACGGCAGCCGCTGGGAAGAGGAGTGCAACGCCTGTCAGTGCGTCAACGGATATGTCCGCTGCTCCAAGGTAAGTCTCATACAGAAGACCGAGGCGATGACCTGTTTTCTAAGAGGACTACAGGTGAAATGACGCTTTTATCCTGCAGGTGCGCTGCGGTCGACGGCCCTGCCTCCTCCCCAAAGCTCTGCCTCCTCCTACGGATGCGAACCCTCCGCCCTGCCCGGGTGGTCACGAGTGTGTGGAGCATCAGTTCCTCACCTGCTTCTCGCCGCCCTGTCATCAGTGGGGCGTGTGTTCAATGCCGGACCCTCCGACGCCCCTGCATACCCAGTGTGAGCCCAACAGTGGTTACCTTGACAACAGCTGTGCCCGCATCACGCTCATCTTTAAAAAGGACAAAGTGCCGCAGGTGAGAGAACATAAAAATGAGAACCTGTGCTGACTTAATGACCCTGAGGAAAACTTTAACGCCGCAGTTAGACTTTTAAAAAGTTGCGATTCTTTCATCTGTGCGGGTTATTAAAAAAATAAATGTTTTTAAAGAGGAAAAAGTGAGGAGGCTGTGAGGAAGTGATGGGTGTCACACTCTGCTTCAACAGTCAGAACTATATTTAAAGTTCTTACACTGGAGACGTGCCTCTTTGTGGTTTTCATATCACGTATCAAAGCAGACTTTTAATACAGAGGAGCTCATAAATTTCCAGACACATTTTTATTGGCTCTGATATCACCGATGTGACCGACGGAGGAAGAAAAGTCTGCGAGTTTTCCCTCTTTTTGTGTCTTTGTCATTTATTCTTTTGATCAGTTCTTCCCAGGATGCTTTGGGAGTATTGTCTCTTTACATTCACGCCAATAAAGCTTTCTCAATTCAACAGAATTGCAGTGCGTTCGTCCATTAGCCCCCAGTTAGCGTGACAGACACGTTTCATCCTCAGTCAGCTTGAATTTCCACCCCTTTGTAACTCCAGATGGTATTTCCTTGTTTACGACGGTCTAATGAATTAACCTCACCCCTGCAGCAGATCTGCATCAAGTTTTATGAATGGAAATTAATCTATTCTTCTGACAGATACTGATCTGAGATCTGAGTCACAGTCGCCCCTGCTGGGCAGAGCCTTCAGATCGTCTGAATGTGAAACAGACTTTGGAGGAATTAGGACCTGATTGTTCTTCGCCAGCAGTGCTGATACTAATCTTTTTTATTCTGTGTGTGTGTGTCTCTCTCTCTCTCACAGGGCACCACCGTAGAGAACATCTGCTCCGAGCTGAGGTACCTCCCTGTGACTCAGACTCTCGCCGAGGAGCGAGGGCTGCTCATCCTCTGTGACCTGTCCTACACCAACAGTGACGCTGTGGAGGTTGCCATGGTGATTATTGCATCAAAACACACAAACCCACACACATACCTATTCCTATGAAAACAATTAGAGCTGTATACTGACCTCCTTATTTGCCGGTTTCTGTTTTGGATCCACGTTTCCCGTTTGATCGACTTTTATTTATTCTGACGTCTGTAACTGGAATCATGTGAATCGTAGGATGTTGAGCACTGCCTTTCATCCATCCAGGGATCTTGTTTGTAAAGATTTTTAACAGGGTCCCTTTTCAGTCGCCTCTTTTTTTCGCCACTTTTTCGTAGGCTACTTTGCATGCTAAGTTCGTGATCCAGTTTGATCCAAAGAAATGATCCACATTTATCTATCCTGACGTCTGTAGCTGTTAAGCAGGTTTTTTTTATTTTATTTTTTTGCAAGTTTCCAGCCTTTTATTGATCCAGGAATCTTGTTCGTAAAAATTTTAAAACAGGGTCCCTTTTCAGTCGCCTCTTTTTCCTACGCTACCTTGCACGCTAAGTTTGTGATCTATGTAAACAAACTTGGTGTTAAAAATGTGCGCACTAGAGGAAGTCCTGACTTACATTTTTAGAGGTGGGGGATGTTAGCAACTCCACTTTCTGCCATGTTTTGTACGCCACTTTACCTACGCCACTTCGCCTAACCCACTTTTTATACGCTCATTTTCGTGCGTCTCTTTAGGGAACTTTTCATATGCATCTTTTTGTGTACGCTACTTTTCACACTTTGTTTGTGATCTATGTAAACAAAATAAGTGCACTAGTACGCATTTTTTTGCCACTTTTTTATGCCATATTTTTTATTCACTCCACTTTTTGAGTGTCAGGATGGATGATGGCGCCAGCTGGCTCGATAGATTTCTTCTCCACAACCATTTTTCTGTCAAAAAACACTCAAACCTCTGCTCTGAAAGACCCCAGAACAATAACATGAACTATAAGGTCTTATTTATTTATTTTTTTTTAAAGTCAGAGAAAATTAAAGCCATTTCTTATTGACGTCTGATGCAAACAAAGGAAAAAAATCCAGGGCTGCTAGTTGAAGTTTCCTCCGAAGTCTTTAAATCGGAAGTGACAATCAGTCAGAGTGTTAGTATTTATTTTCAGTATCTTTTAATACCGTCCAGATCTCAGTATCAGGTGTATTCACAGACGCCGCACACCTGCAGTGTCAGGAGCCGCTCCGTCCTCTCTCCCTCGCCGTCTTTTCTTCTCCCTCTTTATTGAATCACACTTAATTTGTCACTGCAAATTGTTTCCAGCCCGTCGAATCCGGTTAAATCAAGTCTTTTTTTTTTTTTTCCTGTTTTGTTTCTTCCCTCTGTGCGTTTAAAAAAAGAAACAAGAGAGAGAAAAAGAGGGAGAGGCATCTGAAGCTTTTTACAACATCTGGAGGAGATTTAGCTTTTCTGCTGGAACACCTTGCAGATCTCTCTCTCTTCTTCTTCTTCTACTTCTTCCTTAACATCTTCTTTCTCATGCCCTCTACACTTTACCTCTCCTGTTTTCTTTTCTCTTTTTCTCCCTTTTATTTGTTGCTGTCTTTCTCAGCCCTCTCCCTTTTTGTTATCCGTCTTTCTCTCTTTTTCTCGGCCACCCAGACTCGGGGGAAATCAGTCACTTCGGGGCCCTAAGCTCTTAATGGAGGGGGATTACTTCATGTTCCTCTGATGTTTGCAGCGACACATACAGGAAAAGGAGTGGCGAACCTGACATCCACCCAATCCCCACAATAAGACCTTCATAAAAACACTCACTCCCACTCGCTGCCGAATGTTTGTTGCTGCTAAATGTCAGCGCTCGTGTATGAATGTGGCTGAAATCTTTATAATGTCAAGGAGCCACTCAGTCGTGGTGGTTCATTCTCTCTTTAAAGAGCTCTGGGTGTGTTTGTAAACCCCTGAAGCTGATCTGCAGGCCGCTCTGCTGTGAAGTGGTTCAATATGTCAGAGTGTGTTTGGGAAATAAGGAAGGTTTGGTTTGCTTCGGCTTTATGGTGACATGTTGAGGTTTTTTTGGCACGTGTGTGTGGGGAAGATAAACCAGGAAACCCACAACATTAGGAAGCCACATACAGGACTCAAAGACCATCATCAACTACTGTAATACACTTTATGTTGGCATCTCCCAATCATCTCTTAGTCGCCTTCAACGTCTTTTAACCAACAATAACAGACGTGAGTAGGCCTGACCAATATGGAACTTTTGGGGCTGATGCCGATACCAATTATTAGGGGGGAAAAAAATCTGATTACTGATTAATCAGCCGATTTTTAAAAATATTTATGAAGTTATAAAAAATACATTTATACTGTAGATATCTACAGTATACTGTATGCCACTGCTCTTCATGCTGACAGGAAGACCGACTGATCAAACTTGGACCAGAAGAGTGTTTTCAAGTCAAAAAATGGCGTCATTCACAGAGAAGAAAAGAAAATTGTCCGTGTAACCGCCATCAAAGTTGTCCATTTTTAAAATAATGTGAATAGATCTATATTTGATCCATTTTTCCTACTTTCGGGTGTTTGTTTCTTGCTGGAGTTGTAGAGCGTGTGTTAGTTTCTCCATTGCATATAGTTCTTCCACCGTGTCCAGACAGTTTTTTTGATTGGTTGGATTACCCTTACACCAATTTTCTTGTGATGGCCTTCTTTTAAACTTTTAATGTTCGTTTTATTTAACTGAGCTTTTAACCGTTCGTGAGCCGGGTAGAGCTCTGAGGTTGTCAAACGAACCTCTACTGGAAGTGCCCAGATTAAAATGCAAACACTGGGGTGACCGAGCCTTTGCAGTTGCTGGTCCCAGGCTCTGGAATAAACTCCCCACCGCAATGCGACTCATTTCTGACCTGGGCCTTTTCAAATCCAGACTGGAAATGTATTAATTCATGCTGGCTTTTAATACCCAGTAGCGTGGTGACACTTTTACTTTATTTTATTTCATTGTATCTTATTCTTTTTTTTTTGCTTTTATTGCTTTTTTTTAGCACTTTGGTTCACCGACAGGGTTGTTGTAAAGGGCTGTATAAATAAAGTACATTTACATTTATATTTACATCAACAAGACTGACTCTTCTCAAATCAGTCAGAACTGGTGTAGCCGTGACGCCGTCTGTCAATCACCTCAGGGGGCGGGGTTAGAGGTGTGTGAATGAGCTGCTGGTTTCCTGAGGAGAAGAAAAGAGGAGTGTTTGTCCCGGGCCGAGCGGGGAGCACAGCTGGCCTGTTCTCTATTGTTTGTTCTAATTGAACTGCACAGCACACAGCTAATCCCCCTCTGCCCCCTCCTCACCTCCATGCTCTCACCCTCAGCACCTTATTAGGCAATTAACTCCACCCTCTGTGGTCTCAGCAGGGGGGTCCGCAGCCTGCCAGATGTTAGGATGAGAATCTCTTTATTCTGACGGATGAATGTGTGTTTTTTTCTCTCCCTCTCTCCCTCTCTTTTTGTTGTCCTGAATAGCCTCCAGCCACACTCTGACCATTTGGCGAGGAAGGACTTATTTTCTCTCTTTACTGTACCGGCTGAATGAGTCTCTGCACAGAACCTGGAGCTTTAACAGGTTTCACATTTAAATGAAGTGTTAATGCTAATCACACTGACTCATGCTTCCATCTCTCTTTCTTTCTCTTTTTTTTTTATGTCCTTCAGTCCTTTGAGCAGGACGGGCGGTCCAAGGACAGCGATCGTGGCCAGATCCAGAAAGCGGCCAGCACCATCATCGGCGCCCTCTCCAAACGCCACAATAGCACCGTCATGCTGGCTGTCGTGGAGGTCAAAGTGGAGACGCAGGTGGAGTCACCGCCTGTTGGTGAGTCACATGTCATTTTTGTTTGATTTATATATAAAATAAAAATCAAATCTTCTAATTTCAAACACAAAGAAAGGTTTTGAGTTGTTTTCTTTTTTTTTTTGAACAATTTACTTATTTAAACACTATACGACTTCAATAACAACAACAGAACTGCAAATTTACCCCAAACCCAACCCCCTCCCAGAACAAACCCCATAGGCCAACTCTAACCTACAGCCCAAAAAAAAATGGTAATAGTAATAGCAATGATATTAATAATAATAATGTATAAAAAAATATATAAATGTAAATAAATAAAAGGATGAAATAAAATAAATTAAAATAATAATAATAAATATATAATTATAAAATAAAATGTACATAAAAATTATGATAAAATATAATAATAATAATAATAGTAATAATAATAATATATAAAGTAAAATATAAATGTAAATAAATAAAAGGATAAAATAAAATAATATCAATAATAATAATAATAATAATAATAAAATATAAAATAAAATATAAATGTAAATAAATAAAAGAATAAAATAAAATAATAATAATATATGAAATAAAATATAAATGTAAATAAATGAAAGGATAAAATAATAATAATAATAATAATAATAACAATATATAAAAGAAAATATAAATAATAATAATAATTATTATATATAAAAGAAAATATAAATGTAAATAAATAAAAGAATGAAATAAAATATAATAATAATAATAAAAATAATAATACATAAAAAATATATAAATATATAAAAGGATAATAATAATAATAATGATGATAATAATAATAATAATAATGATAATAATAATAATAATACACAAATTAGTTTAAAAAATAAATAATAAATTAAATAAATAAAACTTTAACAGCAAAATACATGCAGCAAAAGTCAAGACATTGACATTGAGTTGTTTTTCTAACATCTCCTTTTGACCTCCTCTCTTCAGGTTACCTGGTCCCTGTGCTGTGTGTCGTCTTCAGCATCCTCTGGATCTTCTGCATCGTCGTCTGCGTCTGGTGGACCCGTAAGAGAAAGAAAGAGCGCGAGAGAGCGACCCGATCTGAGGACACCACGGTGAACAACCAGCTGGAGCCGCTGCGGAGCAACGCCCTCAAGGACAACCGAGACAAAGACATTCAGTACGAATGCAAGAAACTGATGGGCCCCTCCGACAGGACGTGCGATGGGGCCGAGGGTGAGGAGGAAGGGGAGCAGGAGCGGGAGCAGGAGGAAGACGAGGAGAGGGCGCTGGGCATGGGGGAGAAGTGCCCGCCGCAGAAGTGCTCCATAGCGGGGCCAGGGCAGGACAGGGGGATGATGGGAAAGGTAGGGGTGATCTGCACATCGCGCAGCGGCCCAGTGAAGGCGCCGCACCGGACGGCGTACAGCCCCAAAGACAACCGGTGTAAAAACCTGAACGCCGCTAAGCTCAGCGAGGACGTTAAAGACCAATATGTATGAACACAGGAGAGAGAGAGAGAGAGAGAGAGAGACGGAAAAAACTGCAATGTCTTCAACGTCACTGACTCTTCAACTCTTAAAAGCACCAAAAGTGAAGATTACAGATGCTTTAATTTTCTATTTTTGTTTTTCAAACCTTATTTAACTCCTTCGTCTGCGACACAGAGGCTTCCTTTACCAAAAAAATGTCAAAAAACAACCAAAAAAAGGCAACAATGAACGTCACAGCTTCTGGATTTCACTTTAATCGTCACTCTTGAAATCAAGAGGATCTTTTTTTTCGTCACTCTTGACTTTTTATTTCTGTTTACAGTTTTTATTTTTTGGGGTTTTTTCCACGTTTAATCAGAACTAACGTTTTCCTGAGATCTAACTGACCGTCATTGGCTGGCAGCTGTTAACATTGTGATTTCTGTTTGGTGCATTCAGTTCCTGTCTGCCTTAGCCCAAACCTGCGGGCCTTTTCTACACTGTCTTGATATTCTGGTTTTTTTTTTCGTTTTTTTTTAAATAAAAGAAAATTAAAAATAAACAAAAAGATTTTATAAACATTTAAGTCTTGAAAGTTGGCACAGAGAATCCACTGTTCGATACCCGGCATGAGCATTTTTTTGTTTACATTCACAAACATCTTTTCCATTTCGTGTTCAAGGCTCTGACGTGAATACTTTCAGATCACTCTCACTGCTTTCTGTGAGTCTCCATGATGATTTTTCAGTATTTTGTTTGGTAGAAAAGTGCCTTCAGCCCTTTATTTTTTCTCCTTTTCTCTCCTCCTGAAGAGTTTATGCAGAATTAAAAATCACATAAAGGGAAAGATGTCCTAGTAACAACTCTTCAGACTTTAGGAGAGGATATTCTCTTTGCTTTGTACATATGTAAATATGAAAAAAAGGCTGTTTATATTTGAATTTAGTAACTTAAGTGATGCTTTGTATCATAGTTATTCTAAAGAATAAGACTGTTTTTGTGCTTGTTGTTCTTTTTTTTTTTTTAATAATGTCATTCCGTTTATTTGTGTCTGTTGACACTCTGACAGGTTTTATACAGAGTTTTTTTGGACTGTTTTGGAGGTCCCGCTAAATCATGAGCATTGGGTTTAAAAGAAAACAGATCGTGACTGTTTGTTTCTATGTGTTGTGAATATTTGTTCAGGTTGTTCAGAACACAAATACTGAGGTTGGTCAGACCTGTCAATCATTTTGGGTTGTTGGAAGCCCCTCCCATCAGGGACTTTTTAATCCTCTGAACACCACCTGCAAGATTCAAACAGGTTCGAGTACAATTTTTCAAATCTGAGGCAATCTTAATGTTCATTGAACGGTTTATTTTCATTCATTTAAAGTTGGTTGTGAAGTTAAGAGCCTTGCTACATCTACAGATTCAAGTCATGTGGGCCAACCCTTCCAAAAACAACCAAAACCCCAGTTTTTTTTAGTGCGTAAAGGCTCTGAACTTTGTTTTTATTAGTCCCCTTTTGGTTATTGTTGGTCTTTCCCATTTTTTTCCCACTTTTCATGTTATGTTTTGTCACTCAACTGGCCGTATGTTTGTATTCACAGAACAAAAACACCCTCAGCATCCTGTTCTGGCGCTGCACTGAGCAGCCAGCAAGGACATTGAACGTTTAAGATACTTAATGGACGTCATTCAAAAGTTGTAAAGTTAAGCCTGAAATCTGCTCTGTTTTCAGCCACAGTTTCCTGTTCTACAAATTCCCACAACTCCTAATTTAAGGAGCAAGCCTGGTTTACAGCACTTCTTTGGAAATAACTTTAATTATGTCATCCTCATTTGCTGCCTTAAACGCAGGAAAACAGCAACTTTATTGGCCATTTAGTCATTTTACCACTTCAGACAGCTGTAGAGTAGCTTAAATTAGGAGGTCTGTCCTTTTTTTATTGTTTGTTTTACCATTTTAAGTTATACCCAGTTATATTGATTAAAAGCTGATTGTGAGCCATGACTTTCAGTCCACTCTCATGGGTCACAGGGTCTGAATAACTCTAAAGCACTGCTGCTGGTCCTTGCTAAGCCCGCTCATACAGCTCTGTTCAGTTATAAATCTACAATTTTACAGTCTGTTGACAGAAGAGATGCCACACAGAGCGGACGGTGTTTCAAGAGAATGAACACCCTTTCATGTCGGCCCCCCAGCCCCCTGACGTGCCCTATCATAAGACACTGAACCCCTTGATGAAAAACAATCGTAGTGTGTGGTTTGAATGGGAATCTTCTCACAGCGAATGAGTTTGTTACCCTTTGTTTTTGTTTTTGTTTTTTTGTTTTTTTTGCTCTTCAGCCCCACATCTCCTCGTGTTTCTATCCTGGTCTAATGAAGGGAACAAGTTGTGTTGTTGATGTTGTTGTTGACTGTTGTAGTTGTCGTCCAGTGTTTGTTGAGAGTCTGTTTCTGCACTAAGAACACACAGGAAAAGAGAAAAGTTTACCATTACCTCCGCAGCGGTAGTGAGGAAAAAAAAAAGTCAGATATTGACACCATTTGTGGATGAAAATGATGTTTTTGATCTTTAATGTTTTTGTTCAATTACTGATGCAAATCATGTTAAACCCAAATTTATACTCTGTCAGTAAATTTTACTTTGCTTTAGTCCCACAGGAGGGGCTGAATGTGCAGAACATTGTAATTATTTTGTACAAAATTTGGTAAAAGTCTTGGTTTGTTAGTGGAATTTTTTGTTTGTTCTTAGAACAATTCTTTTATTTATTAAAGTATTTTATACCAAAGTTTCTGTTGTTTGGTCCTTTTTATGTCCAAATTTATGAGAAAGGTTTTATTCTGGTTGCTGGTATCATCTTCTGAATAACCCACTTTACCAGCCCTGCTCCTCCTAGTCAGGCTAATGTTTATAAACTTGAATAGAAATTGAATATGAAGTTTATTTAATAAAAGCTGTAAAGACATTGAAGGGAGTTTGTTTTAAATGAATATTGGTCAGAGTCAGAGATTAAGTAGCGAGATAAATGCAAGGCACGATGCATTTAGTGGAGTTTTCTTAAACTTTCTTCAAGCCCACAAAAAAACCCACACAAGTGAGAGAAGTCTTAATTATTCATTGTTATATCCAATTGACTACATTTTGATGTGGTGATATGAAAAATAAAGGCTATAGGACATAATATTTACAGCAAGCTTAAACTTTAAAACAACACTGTTAAACTGAGAAGAAGAAATAGGAGAGAGTGGGGTAAGTTGAGCCACCCCGTGTTGCTTGGAAATGGTAAAAGAAATTGATCATGTGACCAAATATTTAGGAGGTGGGCGTCAATTCATGGAGTCTGTGAAGGTTAGAAGCACATCGGTGAAGTGGTTAGACATTTATTTCCAAGAAAACATTTTTCACTCTTAAAAGAAAATTTAGTCTGCCATAAATTTTATAAGAATTGTGTTCAGACCAAAAAAGATCATTTTAAACTTGTTTTAAACGTCAATGGTGGTATCTATGAGCTTCAACATGAGGTTAAAAACCAAGCACAAAAGTCTACCATCTAGCTTAGACGACTAATAAAGTCATTATAGTAAGTCTGTAGTAATTTGAGTCAGTGGCTCAACTGAGAAAGTAAAGCAGTCTGATGAGAGGATCAGAGTTTCAGTTCAGATCGTTGAAATGTGTTTTTACTTTTTCTTTCCGAAAATACAGCTGTAAATGTTCTGAATCACTTAGACATTCTCATGTTAAAATGGCTTTTTACAAAACAGCTTTTAGCAGTTATTTGCAATAATAATAAAAGGAATTATTGTACCAGTTGAATAGCGTATAATAGATAAAAATACACATGAATGTGAAGAAGTGACTGTTGTTTAGAGAGAGAGAAGGTGAGGTAGGGCTGGGGTAGAGAGTAGGGGATCAACTTATCCCATACACGGGGTAAGTTGACCATAGGAGACCACTTTTTTTGGCAAGCTATATTATCAAGACAGTTATGTTTACACTCATTCTGTTGGTTTGCAGGGATGAACAACATCTTGAAATAATGCAGATACACTAGTTAGAGACAAAACTATGATTGTCCTGATGTAGTGATCGGAAACATGAAAAATGGCTCATCTTACCCCACTCTCCCTGACAAGGCAAGAGCAAAAATATTTATAAATGCTTATAAATGATAAATACAATCAAATTACACGTCATCATCCATCCAATTCGATGCCTTCTTTCTGACATGTTTCTGTTTTACATTTAGGTTTCTTTATTTTCTATATTGTACAGCCATGCTTTTATTTTGAAGATCATGCTACTTCCGGTGGACTTAAGCTGCGTTTTTGGATGAAAACAGGTGAAAACTTAAATGTTCCGCTAGAAATGTTCAATAAATTAGCAACCTAGAAAGACACAAGCTTCAGCGTTGCTCGTGGATAACCAAAAATCCTAAATTTTATGTTTTGAAAAATGTTGACTCATATCTCAGAGAGCCGGTTTAAGCTAGCTCACAGACAGGTCGTGTCCTCCTCAGCCTGTTCCTCATATTAGCATCCTGCACTGGTACTTTTTTGTCGTCGTTTAAGCAGTGGGTATGTCAGTCCTAATCTTTATTAATAATATCTACTGAACTAAGTCTGTGAAAGTGTACAATAATGTTGTTTTTACTCCTAGCCTCAGTAGATACGCTTTTTAAAGACTTAAGTTAGCATCTCACATTAACATTAGAGGCTTTTAACAGACAACCACACCTCATTACCCTCACTAGTAAGTGTAAGAATCACCAGCCAGCTAAGTAAATAGCTTATTTGTTTAATTGTAGGCTTCAGGGGCTAGTTACATGTATTGTCCAAGCTGTAGAGTAGCTAGCCGCCATTAGCCAGGGCTACTGCTAATGCCAAGGTGCTACAACAACAACAATAACAATAAAAATAATAATGATAAATCTATTTGTATAGCACTTTTAAAAACCTTTTAAAAACACACGGAAAATGACGGATAAAATCCAAAAAGCTCAGTTCAAATGGAGTTAAAGGCCATTTTTTGTCATAATGAACCCAGACAATACAAGAACCATGCAACAAAAAATCAGACCATGAGGACCAAAATAGAAACATAAAATAGTTAAGAAAAAAGGAAAATGCAATTGAAAGGGTGGACGAAAGTGTAAACAGGATAGTAAATATAAAAAGCAATATCAAATATGATAACAATAGTAATGATAAAATAGAGCAACAGAAATGAGAAAGAGATAAAAAAAATAAAAAGCCTAAAAGGTAAATTAAGAAATGAGTACAAGAATAACAAAAGCTAAAAACACAGTAAAACTGAAATAAGGCTACGTTCACACTGCAGGTTTTGATGCATATTTCGAATTTTTTCTTAAATCCGATCTTGTTGTGTGGTCGTTCACATTACAACAACGAATGCGGCATCTAATGTGAATGGAATGCATCCGTGAAGTGACCCGCATGCGCACAAAGCACAAATTGCTTTTCACGCCTATTTGTCACCTATTGATGACGTATAGGTCGGATGAACGTGCCTGAGCGTCCACACTGCAGTCACATCGGATACATAAACGATTTATATCCACATACAAAAGCTCCCTGGGTCAGATTTGAAAAAAATCCGAATTGCACTGTTCATACTTACATGAAAAAAATCAGATATGTGTCACGTATGGTTAAAAAATCGTAATTGACCTGCAGCGTGAACATAGCCTAAGACAGAGGTAAAAGATAAAACACAGCATCACTTAAAAGCAAGTCTGTAAAAGTGAGTTTTTAAATTTGACTTAAAAGAAGTGACAATGCTCTGATACTCAGATGTAAACAACTTCAAGTAGCAGAAACCACCAGCAGTGTAGTGCAGGGAGATTTGGCATGATTTTTTATCTGAAAATCATTCATATATTCTCTGAGATTAATGTATATGAGTTTGACAAATTCATTCTGCTCTGCAGGTAGCCAATCAGCCGCCTCTCTGCCTCCCGCCTCACAGAGCGCCAGTCCAATGATGTGGGTCCTCGGCGTGCCTCCGTCTGTCCCTTAAACGACTCCGTGGGAAATGATTAACATTGACCCGCTCTGCATGAAAGCCTTCCAGCAGCTGTGTTGGATATCCATAATGCTTGGTGAGACGTTATGTGCTACGCTGTGTGTTCATTAACCCGGCAGTTGTTTTGGGAAGAATGGGAAACGTGTCTGGAATCCTGGATGGCGAGGCGCTCGGGTCACATTCATGTACAGCGCTCGGTGGCTGACCTACTTGGATAGAGGAACAATGAAGGAGAAGGCGATGGTGGTGTAGTAGAAGGAGGAAGGGCCGGTGATGGCGTTAGGATCGCGTGTCATTCTACAATGCAGCGTGAAAGCTGACACCAGATTCCTACAGGAGCTGGTTATAGTGAAGGCTGCTGGTCCACATGGGTCCTTTTTCCATGATGCATATGGGCTTTACTATGAACCAATTACAGGGTGGCTGCAAATTAGTAATAAAGTTAACCCGGCAGTGACAGGATCCACTTTCGGCTACAGTATATAAATATGAATGATGTGCCTCCATCTCCTATTGAAAAAATTAAAGGGATATTCCGGTATAAAATTAATTTAGGGTCAAACACACTGCTGCGGGTTGACGCAGCTCAAGGAAGAACATTTATGATAATTTCTTTATCATTTCCTTCAAGTAATAATCACCATATTAACCATAGTAATGACCACAGGATAGCAATACACAGCGGTCTATGAAACCATAAATAAACCTCAACCAAAACGCCACTCTACAGCCACAAATAATGCTCAGAACAGCACCTAACTTCATCAACAGGACATATAGGGTCCTAGCCACAGCACTAGCCACCAAACATTTTTTTAATTTTGCCTAATTTCTTTTGTAAAGAGACTAAACACAACTCACCTACTCTCTCCCAGCAGCCGCTTGTTTGTAGCGAGACCTCAGGCCAGTCCATCACAGACAGGAGTCTGGTTGCATTTCCATGAAGAAATGATCATAAATGTTCTTCTTTGAGCTGCGTCACCCCGCTGTACAGTTTTGTTTGGCTTAATGTGCTTTACAATCTGGTGTGCCTTATGTATGAAAATAGACGTGACTACACGCTTTCATTGATGGTGTGCCTTACAATCAGGTGCGCCTTATAGTGCGAAAAGTACGGTACAGTGTTTTTAAGGACTCGGCTCCAGTTGCTGTCTCAAGATCTCAACTCAAAGTCAGATGATGATAACGTCTTTCACCAGGAGTTTCAAAAAAACACAAAACAGTTTTTCACAGACAGAAAAGACAATGTGATTAATAAATTAATACAGGACACTAACCAGAAAGTGCACAGAAAAACAAAGTATATTAAAAAGATTGCACTCATCTGGCTCTCATGATAAACAGTCAAATTTCTGGTACTTTCTTGCTCAACATGGGGCAGATAACACGTTTCATACCAAAGATGCTTTGAGTAAATGAGAGAGATCTAAATCTGCCTGTAAAGATTTAGTCAGAGACAACCTGAGCATGGAGCCGTTTACACAAACCTCACGTTAATCCTGTCCTACTAAATCCATCGACACACTCTAACAACACTAACTCAAGTGTGAAACCTCATGACAGAGCATTATGGTTCTCATGCTCCATTTAATGCTTGTTCTCTCGGATAATTTAAACAACTGCAACAAAGCTGTCTCCACAGTGACGCACATGCTCAGTTTGATGTTTAACCTGAAGTTGTCTTCTGCTTCCAGACAGACAGACAGACAGACAGACAGACAGACTGACTGGCCGAGCGCTCGGTGTGGCTGAAAATCTACTCAGAAGATGGATCGAAGCCATTCCTCAATCACCAGGCATGCAGGATCAGTGGAGCCACCTGGTCTC